AACACTAGTTTCAATTAATAATTACGACTGATTTGAACTAGCGAGCATGTGGTTCTGCAATCATTAACTAGTAATACCTTGGTCTGGTTACATTGCTGTAGACTCTCCTTTTTCAGGAGAATTAACAAAACATTTTAGCCAATTACTCTGAATATGAGTAGCATAAAGTTATAATTTATGAAAAGAAAAAACTTATCATTAAATATGAAACATAAACTAAAAAAAATCATAGATGAGTAGTCGATGTATGTAAATTACCAGAAAATATCAAAAATAAAACACAGATTCGTGTCAATCATTCTTATGAATTCGTTCTAGTCTTTCACGCCTTAGTTCAATGTTGCGGCAAATTACGTTACGGGTGCCAAGCCACTGAAAACACGCTACACAGCACTTCAAGAAATTATTCTAGACCCATAAAATATTGTCAAAAAGGTAATTTAATTAATAGACGAATGTTTGTCTGATGATTTCTACAAAGAATCGAATAAACGACATTTTCATTAGGCTAAAAGTGTTTTTTAAACTGTTAACGATGTCTCGGACATCTGTTGATGGCGTCCGATAAATCACAAGTTTTACTGCGATACACAGTGGTCGTTTGGCTTGTTTTATTTCATTATTATTTTGTCTGTGTCTGTCCGAAGAGAGCGATCCCACTACAGGATTCTTCGCTATTTTGCGCAACGGCATCAACTACCGCATTCATGACCTACATAAGCATTAAGAATACCTTGTTCCGCAATTCCCAGAATATATTTCGAAAGGTATAAAGTGTACGATGTGAATTATATTAAAAAAGAAATAGGCGTGATATATGGCTCCCCTGAGGCTTGGAATACAGAAATGAAGTATAAGGAAAAGACAACATTTGTAATGTACCGTGTAAGTTAGCTAAGGTCATTGAGGATATCATTTATTAAATAACTACCACTAGTACGGAGTCAACATGTCTTTCTATAGAATCAACATGTTTTTCTATGGTACATCATATAGTCATAGGTACTATTTCGTCAGTTACTTTGTTAATTATGAAATTGAAAAAAGAGGAAATGTTGATACAAGAGCCTTTTGTTAAAACTAAACTTAAAATTCTTCACCCATTTCGAAAAATGAACTCAAAACAATCGCACTAGTTCAAAAACTCCGTAAAAGTAAATTATAATCAAAACCTTAATCAATAACATAACGATATTCGTTGAACGTTACTTTGGAAAGTTTACTTCGGCATTTTCAGGCTTTAACTGGCATGAAATGAAACTCTACTGAAAACATTACACTTTGAAACATTAGAAGTTTATCAAGGATTATTTCCTTCACGATTACTATATAACGAATATTTTTTATTTATGTTGAAAATAAATTACAGCCACAATAATCTACAATGTTTATTTATTGAACATATTAAGCGTGCTTTATTTAAGCCAACTAATAACAATAAATAGAAAAAGTAGTGTTAATTAAGATTTCATTCTGGATGATACATTGTCTTCAAAAGAGCGAAGTACGACCAGGCTGTACTTAGAATCTAAAAAATAAAAAATCTGTCAGCAACTCAATTCAGAGTAATAACAATAAATACAATATGTTTATAGCTTACGTACACTCGAAAATGTGTACAAATTAATTTTGGCAAATCCATGAGCCGTCAATTCGCAAGGCGTTTGGGACCTGGAAAGGAAATTAAAGTTATCAATTTCAGTAATTTTCTTTATTTAACAGTGTAAATAATATATGTTTAATATGTACCTTGTTATAATGATGAGGAACAATTTTCTGTCCGCCACTCCCGTCATGTACCAACAACTATTGTATATGGCATTACCTACATTCATGCTCTGAGAAAATAAGCAAAAAAAATTGTTTAAAAGAATCACATGGATAACGTATTTATTTCTTCTTAATGAAGCTCTCGAGTTCTCTAATTTCCACCAGCGTAGAAACAACTGCTCATTAGATTAAACTAATTTGGCCATCTTGCCTTAAGGAAAAACTGAGAGAAAGAAAATGATACGAACTGTTTTCTTTTTTACATTGTTTTATCTCCTTTTATAAAATACTAGCTTTTGTTCACATCAGTGGGGATCAGCGTACATACGCGTTTTATTTTTCTTCGATAAAAATCCCCTCTTAAAGGCCTGAAATTGTGAATAAAACTTACCGATCTCATAATAATGTCGCCGTAATAACAATATAAGAAGATTTCCACTACACTGAAAATTAGAAAAGCCAAGAATGAACCCACCATAAATACGTTTTCAACCACCTGAAATAGAAGTTTGTATTGAAGCTACTAATCCAAAAATAAGTTTAATTTACCTGGCATAGGTATAGGCACAGAACATATAAGTCTCGGTGGCAAGAAGATTCAAAATGCCCGCTTCTCATGCATGAAGGTGCGAGTTTGAAACCTACCTACGGTAAGTACCAATGTGACTTTTTCCCAGTTATATACACTTTCTAAGATTATTTAGACTGCCAAAAAGAACCTTGATTGATTTGGTTGATTAATGCTCAATGTGAGAAGAGGCTTTGTTCAGCAGTGGGCATTTATAGGCTGTTGATGATTATGATGCGATATAGGTCATAGGTCTGTCAATATTCCTTTTTTTTTTTGTTTTCAGTACCTAAATACTTGGCCCCACATTAGGATTTTCTTCGGTGTAGTGAGAGTATGGTAAAATATACAAGTAATTACACATACACATATTCAGACCCGGAACAAATATATAAGTGGAGTCAAAGAGCTTTTAGTATATGTTTAGAATTCTAAGAAAACCTTTCAAATATGATAATCGAATATAAGATAAATAAATTCTCACCGAAACATTAAAGCCAGTGATGCATATTATGACTGAACTTGTCAGTGCGTTGAATAAGATTGACGTTGAAAATATTGTTTCCATGATATCTACGCACCTGAAATTATTACAAAATAATGTAGTGCAGGTACATCGCCAATATATCGGAAAACATGCCTATATTTTGTAATGTTAGTCAAATCATCATCACTCGTTATTTACATGCTAATTAATAAATTTCCACTTACCTCACTAATTCAATATGGCGCAAAACTAATTTTTTCAATCTATCTTTGTCACATGAACTAGATCCGTCATTAACTAATTTTTCCATATCATAGTTCAGTATTGTGAACTGAATTTGTATAAATGTGCAACAAGTGAAGAAGAAGTAGTCAGTTCCACATACCATTAACGTAGCGAAGAGACCTAGCAATAAATAAAACAAAATCAATTCAAATATTTTTCGTCCCTTCTCTACAAACTTTTTCGCTAACGTATGTTTTGAGTTCCTTGCAAAGTGTCATCATCATCATCGTCATATCAGCCACAGGACGTCTACTGCTGAACATAGGCCTCCCCCAATGACTTCCATATAGGCCAAACATCCACTTACAAAGTGTATAATAACTTAATTCAGAGTGTAGAGGAAGTACCAAGTAAGTAAGTCCTCCTTCATAAGTAAAAACTAATGTTTGATGCTTTGCTCAAGTCAAGCATTGAACAATTGACTGAAAGCGAAGTATAAAAACATGAACAATTAAATAGTTACATACTAGTCCACCACTGATGAAGAAACATGAAGGGATAAATCCGTAGGTCGTACTCGTTGAACGGATAATATCCGATAAAGGGCAATTCAAGTTTGACCTCCTTAGTCTTGTAATAATTCGACAGCATGATAAAAATGGGCCCCAAAGCAAACATTATCAGACACACCGCAATAATATTAACCATCCTCTTGAATATAATCGTCAACATCAAAACATTTTTGTCAATGACAGTCTTCATGAAAATATTATGTTCCTCGTTGCTTGGCGTTAGACCCGCTAGCAAATTTTTCGTCGTAACAATGAATTCGTAATTATATTTTGCATAATAAAGTATTGAGACTCCTTTAAAAATACTTAAAATGCAAAAAATTAGGCAAGGAATCATATAAGTTACATCTAGGAAAGATTTTTTCTTCGCTTCTTGCTTCGCAAACCCATGATATTTGGGATACATTTTGAGAATTGAAGAAAATAAACTGTGCAATAAAATACTTGTGACTACGCAAAAATTGTATTAAAGTCTCGCTATCACCACGATAATCTATACTCATACCAAGCAACTTGCAAAAAAAGTTGACTTGACTTAAACATTTTTGAAACGGTTCAACCATTCTCTAAATTAATGTACTTTTGCTGTATTCAAGTTTTGCGGTGCTGTAGTTGACAACAACTCAATTTATATGAAGACATGCTTGTATATTTGTTCTTTGAAATCCCAAATTGCACTTAATACTACAGTATTTGGTGAACTGTACAATTTACTACGTGTACTACAGGGTGTTTAAAATAAGATATGTTTACTGCCTATTTTGTTGCTAAAATCTTATCTTACACTTTTTCATTTTCATTTATTAACATCATTAGCCTGTATCTGTCTCATTGCTGAAACTCTTCTCACACGAAGAAGAAAAATTCGTATTACATTCTATGTGGGTAGTAAATTCTTATTTAAATTTGTAAAAACAGTAGATTTAAACTCAGACAAAAGACAGACAAAAATAAAAACATCAAAAGCACTGCGAGCTCATCACTGTCTACTTTGTTAACCAAAACTGAAACAACCTGTATACTACAATAAAAAACCTTCGATCATATCCTTAAATGTGCAATTAAGAAAGGTGAAGAAAAAAGGTGAAGCTAAATGCAATATGTCATTTGCAACGAACACTAATTACTAAGCTTAGAAAAACTCGATCATACGTTGAAAGGTTTTAATTTCTTACTTTTTGTATGCTATGTAGTATTTATTTGTATTGTAGATGTATCATGTGTATATTTCTCACCCACATACAAAATTAAGTCAAGTTAGTTATTAACTATAACATCCGATTTCTGTAAATTGTGTTTAGCGCTAGACTACAATCTATGAATTATAACTTAGCTATTTTTTTTCGTTATTTTGATATTTTTAATTCCTTGCTACAGTTTAATTATACATTTGTTTCAGAAGAGCGAAATACGACCACGATGTACTCAAAATCTGCAATTGAAATGAAAATAGTTATTTCATAGAACAAAGAGTTAAATTGACTTACAACGTTACATATAGATATCTTACTCGAGTATATGCCCTTAAATTAATATCCGTAAACCCGTAAGCTGTTAATCTGCATGGTTTTTGAGATCTGAAAGCAAATCAACAATTTTACACAAATATAGAAATCTGAAATCATAAACTAATCGATAGCTATCCTGGAAAATGTTCTACTACTTTGAATATGTAAGCATCGATAAAACTTTCTGTTCCTTTAGCTTGTCCTGAGATAAAATAAAATAAGATACCAATATTTTAAACATTAATAAATTCAGGTAAAAATAACCTTCCTGAAACGCATGCAAAGTAGCAAGGTTTGGTGAGAAAAATTCTGTAATTTCCAGGACATTACTACAAGGTCATCCAAAATGTCCTAATTAAAATACTAATACCCAATCGCAGCTAGGAGTGAAACCACGGCACCAACGCTCACCAAAGCATGACTTTAATAAGAAAACCGTAAGGAAGTGATTTTAGGCGTCAGTTAACGTCTATACCAACTAATATCTGTTCACAGTGATATCTCATATAAGTTTATTGCTTAACTTATATTGAAATTACTAAAACAGTTGAATATTTTCACCTAATATCACCACTGAACTTTGTGATATTTTTTAATTTCTGTAGTAATAAGCACACAGTTGCATTTTCGTATCATTAGAAACCTACAAATAATCTTCAAATAATTTAATTTTGTAACTGAGAAACATTTCCACATAAGTTTTAAATAACTAGTGTAAGTATTTCAATTACCCCAAGAACGTGTTTGCCATCGACGCTCACGTAATAAAAATTTATATTCACCTTTAATCACTTAACTCTAAAACCTCTTACAGCGTTATACAAACCGAAGTAAAACAATCAAAAGATATTTCCTCTCGGCCGCTCCTGTTTCATACCAACGACTGTTGTAAACAGCATCGCCTACACCCATACTCTGGAAAAATAACAATACGTTACCATAGAAACTAGAACAAATAATATGAGTTAAGCATACTTACAGATCTCATTATGTAATCCCCATAATAGCAATGGAAAAATATTTGGCTGAAACCAAATGTGAGAAATGAGGTGAATGGAGCCATTAGTGCGAGGTTTTTGATAGCCTGGAACAAAACGGTTGCAAACATTGAAGTGTCTATAAAACTGAAATTGCCAACCAATATTAGAAATTTTACCATCAAATTGAAGCCCGCTGCACAAATGATTAAGGAGCTGGTCATAACGTTGAGTAGAGTGGATTTTGAAAAAATCGTCTCTAATAAATCCACACAACTGAAAAACATCCAATTTAAAATGTTTTACAATCATAATAACAACAGAAATAAAATGTGTTTGTTAGTCACAAAAACTGCAGAGCGTAATTTGATAACATTTTGGCAGTCATATTCCATGACCTAAATTAGCACGTGCGACATTATTTTCCATGCTATTGCAGACAAAGTCGGGGGTGCAGAGCTAGTAATAAACGCTAATAAAGTAGGTCAATGAATATTATGCAGTCTGTGCTATAAAATCCAAAGTAAAAACAAAGAAGTAGAGAGGTAAAAAACTTTTGGTCAAAATAAATAAATTAACTAAAGTGGCGACGAACTTCTGATTCGTTTTGGCAACGTTCCATAGTGACTCGAAAATTGAGATCTTAAATATTTTTTATGCAAACTGTAAATATCTTTATTTTTAATTTTTGTGACTGAGATTATACTGTCGACAGGATTGCGATTGATTTGTTCAGAATTTATCTAACAAAGAAAACTGTACTTAAGAAACATAATCTAAGAGTACATTTTCAAAATGAACAGACACATACCGCATAAGCTCCCTGTGTTTGTTGACAATATCTACCAGATCTGCTTTAAATGTATTCTTTGTGCTCTCTTCTCGATCTCTGGAACCTTCTTTAACCATCGTTTCCATGTCATGTTGCAGTTTCAGAAATTGAATTTGAATAAAAGTACAACATGTGAAGAAGAAACAGTCGGGGCCGTAGACAGAGAATATAGCCACCCATGCTGTAAAAAGTCTTAAGTCTATAATCATTCATTTACACTGTAATAGTGTCTAGTGCTGGACTATGAATCTCCTTGACACAAGATGGCTTACAGGCTGTAAGACTATATTTGACTCAAATCTAATTTCACATTAATACGGCTCATCTGGTATATCTGAATGTTATAGGTATGATTAAAAAATTGCAAAGCGCAATGGTTTCAACAAATTAAATGTTTTGATTAAGATCAACACATTCCGAGACTAAAAATGAGTACAGGTAAATAAAATAGTTGCCAATTATCGATAGATTATTGAGTTGCCTTAAATATCTTTCTTTTCATTTTTATTTAGAATATAAATAAGTAGGTAAAGTGCATTTGCAAAAGTCAAGAATAAACTTCTCGCAATAGGTTATCAATAAAATATTATAGATTAAGTAACAATTTTCCATGATAGCAGATCATTTCAACACTTTCATGTGGAACGGGTGCCAATAACAAAGCCGTAACAACGATTTATATGAGGTCGCGGTTTCGCTATAAATCCACCATTATGGCACCTCATATAAACCACTGATCATACGATCGAAATGCAATCACCACGCGAGAAGTGTAAATGTTATTCTAAATGGAATTTCCAATTTCGTGCATTATTCCAAGAAATTACAATGTTTGTGTTCGATTATCTCCCACCGCACACAAATCTAAATGTTTATTTAAAATCAGATCAATAATAAATGGGCAGACTTTATCCCTTGTTTTTTTACTGAACTCAATTTTTATGTAGCTTGTATAGCTTAACAAAGTGGATAAATTATGCCAATATTCCACAAAGTTGGGGAAAAATATGCGAATAAAAGGTGTAATTAGAGGTCTCAAATATTGTTATAAATGCATTTAGGACATCCAAACTCATTGACAGATTATTGGGTAAAAAACACGTGTAATTTACGTGTAAAAATACACAAAGAAATATTGACAAAATTACTGAAAAACAAGTTTTCAAACTCACCTGCCCAAAGTTGATTAAGATATACGAAAGGCCAAATTCTTATATCAAACGGATCAAAAGGATACCAAATGAGGAAAGGTACAAATAATTTTATTTCACCAGTAGTGTAATAATGTGAACCAGATATCACAAATGGACCTAACGCAAAAGCGGTTGCACCTAAGATAAATAGCAACAGAATTAAGTTCGAGATTGAGGTTAAAAACAGCAGCCATTTTTTCGCTTCATCTGCCATTCCTTCGTCGGTCTCCTTAATAGAACTGTGTAACTGTCTTAAAGCCTTGACCAACTCGCTAACATGATGCATGTGACGAAGAAAAAAGTAAACTTTAAAGTTTCCAAGAAAACATAGTGTGAGGCAGGGTGTTAAGTATGTAATTTCCCACAATGTAACTCCATAAATTAAACCTTGGATCAGCCATATTATTTCCCCCAAAACCAAAATGTTGAACGAAAAAAAATGAATGAAACACATCCAATGTTTCCGTAATCTTTGTACCATAGTTTTATTATGGTCATCGTTGTCTATACTCAGACCGATTAATTTCAAGAAAACATTTATTCTTTTAAAACACTCTTCGAAGTGCATCATTCTTAACACCTATTAATAACTGTCCACTGGTTTAGATTTATATAGGAAAGGTATTTCTCAAAGAGTCTTAGGTATCTACTATGTTTTAGAACACGAGACTCTGATTGGAAATACACAAATGTTTCCATTTTATAATTACCCCAAACAAACTAAAATACGTAATTATGTTACAACCACTGACAAATAGAAGGTGTTTAAAAAAATGTTAAATTAGAAATTGTTTTGATCACGTGGCAAGAAGAAGATTTATAAGATCATTTGTATTAATGGGATGAATTATTGTAAATACGTAGATAATAAATGGAGAGAAAACAACTAAATAGGAATAGAAACACCGATAATTTACATTGACCCTCTCTATTTACTAGATGTATCCCACATGACACATAATGCGAGGACGGACCACAGCTGTTACACATCAAAGATGATAAACAACTTATGACAGAGAAATATGACTGAATTTCCAGAGTATCAATATCCAACATATTTTACTATGTGACAAATGAGTTCGGTAACTATTGACCGGAACAAATATTTTCGTGATGTTTTTTCAATTCTTAATCATCACATCTTAAAGCTGAAGTATAAATTGAATTATAATATAACGCAATTCATTTTCAAGAAATTGTTTTATTACTAGATACTTTTCCTAAGTTTCAGTACAAAAGAGTTAAAGGATTGGTAGTTCTTAGATAAAAATTTTCACAAATGATTGCGAAAAACCCGTGAAAAATTTAAACGACAAAAACACTTAAAAGTGTTGAATTGTGTTTATTTTTAAAAGGTAAATTCCACGAATTTTTACACGTCAAAAATTCCTTGTAATTTTACACCAAGATATTTTTAAATCGCATCCACCTGTATACGAGCGGGGCTAATAAACAATTTAAAGACAAATGGCTTCATTATGTTTTATGCGTAAGTTCATAATTACATACCCATTAATGTAATGATGGGTTAAGCCATTGTTTAAGGCAATTAAATGATTAACGTGGTTATTATACGTGTATAAACTGGCATAATATGGTTTTATGTATAAAACAATTAGGAAGACCTGAAAATTAGGCGTTTACATACTCATGTTCATTCATTATAAGACGTACCTACCTAATAAGTCATCGTTATTGATTTAAAAATAAAACAATACTTGTATTTGTTTTGCTTCGATATAGTCTACTATATTTTTCCAGGTTAATGGCATAGAACATCTATTCTATAACAGCCAAGTGGACTATTTTCACAGTTTTGATGTTCTTTCCGTTTTACGACTCATCCTACAAAAACCTTCTGGTCGTTAATCACATTGCTATTGTTATATCAATGGCGTTGATTGCTTATTTTGAGTCTAAACACTTTGATGTTACACCTGCGACGTTGAACATTTAACTGTAAACACGAACCATAGCTCACTTAACATATATGTCGGCAATATATCACTAATGTCACAGAGTAACATAAATCGACACATTTGCAGAATGGGGTCATAAACCAACCAAATCGCAAGGGTGCGGCGGGGAACCATAACATCAAATCTGAATGCGAACATTGTGGTTTTGACAAATTGTGTCACACCCCTCTACTGCAGTGAACTGAAGTCCACAGAATGAGGAAATGGTCTCGTTCCATTTGTCAAAATTATTGTGACGAGATAGATATTCAAGATGGATATGGACCTATTACCTACAGCATAGTAAAATTGAAATGAAATATTACGTAATCCTTTCAATTTTGTAGCTAAATATGGATGTTATGCATACGACACCAAAACATAATGCTGTTGTATCACGATACTGATCATTAAACTATAAAACAATTTCGAACTCTTTTCGTCAGTAATCGAATAATATTATGTAGGTATATGATAAAATAGTTATACTCCTAACTTTAAAATAGTATTTGTGTATAAATAAAAACATTATAAATAGAATGAAATCATTTATCATAGTCAAACTTGTCAAAGAAGACTTTACGAACATTCTGAGTTTTGTGAGCATTCCTTTTAGACGATTCGTCCATTGTCGTGGGGCGGTGACTTCACCCGAGCCAAAACTACATCGATACTTTAATTTTATTTTGAAGCTGAAATTGTTCTATTTGCTATGAGTGTAAAGTTCAAAGTCTATTATTGTGAGCTAGTAAATTATTTACATACCAATCGCTCTATGTAACACGACACTCAACGCTTCGTTAATTTTTGGCTGGCAAATTGGTCTTGAATTTCTACAAAAGCTGTCATGTCCGACGTCAAAAACAAGGTAGGCATCAATATTAATTTAGTTCAAAAGAGAACTGACTCATTTGCTTTTGAAAATTTCTTTTTAAACAACAAATAATCTAAATTTATCCGAACAAAATCAAACGATAATTCGGCTTTTTTCAGTCTGCGTTTACTTGTAAGACATCAAAGTCTAGATCGATTTGCAATAAATTATTATAAATACATACATACGTTATAAAGCTGTTACATTTCCCCATTACTTCATAGAGTTTTCCGGTAGTCAATAATCTCTTAAATGATTTATAGTCTGTTCTCAGTAGTGAGAAGTGCGTAAGAGTTAGTTTCGGTAGTGATGTGAACATGAGATCAATATTGGAAGTTTGAAACGACTTGAAAGAAGCACCGACAAGGAAGTGACTCACTGACATGAGCGTACAAAAGTGGCATTATACAGAAATAGAACAACAGGATGGGTGTAACGTATGAATAATTACGTATAATAAAATTGTAATATCCCTCTAAATATCTTTTGAAATCCCCGACAACATGTGAAACAAAGAAGATTGTCCATGACACATAATTGCCAATATCTTCAGTTAATAAAAGTAATCCTCAGATTTTGTTTTGTCTACCGATATAATAATTAGGTCGCTGTCGTGAATATTGCAGCTGCTGAAATGAAGAAATTTTCGTTTTATTTTTTTTTAATTTCATGTATGTTTCATGTATACTTTATATGAAGGCATCAAGTATTATGCCTTAATATAAATTACACTTACCTACGGTTCATACTTGAGAGCATATTTTTATTTCAGTTAATGAGTTGTGTGATAAGATGTTTGACAAACTCAAATTAGTTTTTAGCTCTTCGCAACTGCACTTCCTTTTGCGATAAAAAGCACATTTTTTATAGAAACTACGTTTAAAAAACTGACTTCAACGCCCTCTTTTTTGAAGACTTAAAAAAATGATTTCCCTATGAAACTTTACATTTTAACTTACCTTTTTTTTAACTCACGGTATTTTGTACTTAAATCTTGTAATAAATTATAATACGAGTTGCCTCATAAAAGCATTGGTTTAAATAAATTCAAATAGCCTCATAAAAAGGTTGTGACTACCTAAACAATAGGGTTATAACTAATAAATATAACTAACTACAACATTATATTTACTTTATGAACTGGTGCTGCAAAAAACATAAACATTATGAATTATAATGGCGATAAAACACAAGCGTTCTTTAGTATCTCAACGCTAAGAGCTCTATAAAGAACACGATTATTAACAAGTTGCTTTGATTTCGAACATGATGTATAATAATATCGAGCTATCGACGCAACTCGATAAAGAGTAAAGAAATGTTTATAACATAAATTAGAGAGTAATGTAAATAGAAGGATATAATTCATCCAACTATGATAACATGACGATGCTTCACTAGGTTAAACAGTAACCTTCAAATACTTCGAATTCATGTTCAGTTTCTGTAATAGTGGTAATGTTGTATGCCGCATTTTGCCCGTCGGCGTCGCTACTAGTGAGCAGAAAAATCCACTTCAGTTGTTACATATTCCGAATCATCAATTAGTATCCTTGGTTGTCTTTGAAGTTTCAAGAAATCGATAGATCGATGAATGGCAAATGAATTACTAAAACTAACTCATCGAAAACTCAGCACTTACCTACTGACTTACTACAAAATGAATCAACGCTAAAAAGAATAAAAATAGTTCTGAATAGTCGAATAGTTTCAATACATGTGGTTCGCATTAGACTTTATTAATGACTTGTAACTAATGCTTTCGTACAATAAGATTTATTGTGCGGATGTCCGAGAAGTGGGCGATACGAAAACGAACGATCGACTTCAATGGAATACCATTTAATAGTTCTTTTATTGATTCTTCTCGGTCCTGTTAGTAAAATAATCAATGAACAACTTTATGAGTAAAAGGGAACATTAAGATATGAAAATTCAAATCAAATGATTCAAATATTGTGTTTTTTGCTTGAATCGTGTTCGTAACAACACAGTCCGATTCGTTTTATTGTTTCTGCTGTCCATGTTTGTCTTCTCCAATGTTAATTATAATGTTTTTGGCTTACTCACGTAACTATTTCACGTAGCAGCAGCGCAGTAGTAGTAGCGCGATAGTCGCCGCGTTGCGGGTCGCGGAATGCTGCTCATGAATATGAGCCTCTAACATGGCTTGAAACTAGTCGAGTACCTCGTCAAACAGTTACGTGAGTAAACCGAAAACATAATAATTAATAAGAATGTCTAACGAAAATTCTCCAGTGCTGTTGATTTCTTTAAATTTAAGCAAGATTATCTTATATTCTCTCCAACTAACCAGCGTAGTGAAGTAATAAGTAAATAGTGTTCTCCACCTTAGTAAACAAGCCATATTCGCTTGAGGCAAAGCCACACAACATGTATCATTTTGTATGGAAAAACCTTAGCTGATAAAAATATTATAGATTCTTCTTCTTTTGGGATTGTCCTAGCCTAGCCAACATGACCTACTAGTTCACTCGGTTCTAATAACAATTTTTTGGTCTTTCAACAAACGGCCTCAGCCATCCAATCAGACATAAGCCAGTCTTTTCGACCGTAGTTGAGGAGCTAAGTAAGGTAATTAGCAGCGAATTACGAATTAGACACCAATATAATAAACAGTAAATAAAACAATCAAAAACGCATTCATTTAATAAACAATTTATTTACTTAATTTCAGCTTCAGTTCATCAGATAGTTTTGTATTAAAGTAAGAAATTGCATTAAAAAATTGTCATTATTTTGTCATTAAATACAGACAAGTTTAGGCAGGCACAAACTTGAAATTACAACATCTGCCAAACTGCTTATACAGGATGTGATTTAAGTTAGAGCTACATTAATGTTGCCATGTGTCAAAATTTAAACAATTGATGTCTTTTCAAACGATTGTGTTATGTGTTTTAGAGAAGCGACCTTCGGTTTACAACGCACACGCATATTCATATAATCGTTTCATGCATCTAATGAGCATAGAGCACATTTAATATTACCGGCTTCTAGCGTTTTGCTTGGCATGAACTAGCATCATTATGATAATGAAAACTCAGTTAATGCCATCACCGCAACGAAACAACAATGTATTCGTGATGAAGTACTAATACTAGTGCTCTCTTAGTCTGCATTTGAAAGGGCATTAATATACCTAATACAATTTCATAAAGACATTAAAAATTCTAATTATTAAATACTTATTAAATAAATACTTAATTCTAATTTCACATAGGTATCTGTTATGAGAGACAAACGTAACATTAGAATGAAATAATACTAATGAATGTTTAGATCCTTTTCAATTTGGTTACCAGACGCATTGCAGGATACTTTCAGACTGTGCTTAGTTAACTAATTTTACTGTTAAATCTAATAGATTGCCTAAATTAAATACAAGATGCTGTTTTAAATCCGCGTTATTTTCTAGGAGGTAACTCGGCTATAGATTCTGAGTCCGAATCAATAAAAAAATTGTAGGTAAATATTTTTCATTTTTCTGTAATCTACGGAAATTCATTAGTACGAACTACACGCCGCCGTTTTGTAACTACCTTTATAACGCGACTTAACAGACACGAACTCAAACATTGCTGTCGCTTATTCTGAAATACTGTCGAACTTAAACGATTTATTATAGCCGTAATTTTAACTATTGGCCTGAAACTTTCTTTTACATTGAACCTTTATGACTTCTATGACAACCTCCGAAAAATGTCACAGTTTCAAAACTACACCTTGCATAGTTATAACGGTACTAACCTAAATACATGACATATTTCGTTCCTATCACTATTACCTATTCCTTGTATACTTGGTCTGATACAAACTTTAACTCCTACCCTGTAGAGTTACCTCACGGCCTTCCCGTTAACCTTTATGTTCTCATATTTTCTGACGTTTTCCAAAAGGTTTTCCACTTCCCTTATTACTTGATAAATCTCATTACTTCACATTATAAAATAACTTGGATAAATTAATGTGGAATTGAAATTAATTCTACGTGACTTTTCTAAGCAGTTGATCAGTGACTTGTGTATCCATTCATTTCTTCTAGTGTATCATTCAGATAAAAGAATTATCTAAATAATAAGCATTTAAATTTTTCAACAACTTCCGCAAAATAAATTACTATAAACTAAAAATTATAAATTTAAAAATATTTCACGTATTGAAAAATAAATTAGCCTAAAATTAATTATCCTTCAAAATAAATAACTATAACAAACGGTTATGTAAAACTAAATTAATAACTATTTAAAAATATAATTAGGTATATAATAGTCTGTCTACAATGGATCACCACTTGAGAAACCTGTATCAATATATTTACAATGTCCAGTTTCAAACTGATGCTTCATCATCAAATCATATTTCTTTTTGCAACTACGAATTCATGAAACCTTATTCAAATTAGTTCAATTATTATTCAAAATTAGTCCAATATTATGCTCCAAGTAACTCATCTTCTGATTAAACTATAAATTACAACCCAGATATTTCATAACCCTATGAAAATCGAAATAGACAAACCACAACTTTACTCGAAACTATCCTGTCGTTTAATTTACAAGTAACATTTGTTTATACAAGCTTTATTGTCTGTAGGTGTAATCTATCACGGTAACGATCGCTACACTTCCGACACGACACACGACAGTGCAACCAGACGCATCATTTATATCTGCGAGACAGACACATTCAAAGACGTTGCGAATTCAAAATAAATTGTAAAATGGCTTAGTTAATGATACAATCCATTCGCTCAACCATTACCGAGAGTAACCTATAAAATAAATATATTCATCACACTTGTCTAGACAATAAAGCAGCCAGTCATAACGTCTTTACAAAAAACGTCAAAACAAAAATTCCAATGAGTATAAACACATAGACACTTCTTTTTGTGATGTTGGCACGCAAACAAACCCACATGCTTGAGAGTTTTCTCATTAGAGCTGCCCTAACAATAATCATAACGAGGCGGCATTTTAGCGATTATGTATTGGGTGCTTTAATTCGACGAACAAGGGTAACTAGCCTTGAACTTTGACGCGTAATGTCTAAATATCACGCGGAACGAGAGCGGCCGTGATCAAGCCTCGTATTATAAATGGAAATTATGGCGTCAGCAGTGGCAATAATGAAAGCATTACATTAGTAATGTGTCGGCAATTGAGCTTGTGTCATTGATGTCTAATAATATTCAGACAGCTTTTTACTTTCTAATTTCCATTTAGTCTAAACTGATGATTCGTAAATAACAATTTGAACTATTGGAGGTTTCTGAGTAGGGATGGGGGCTGTGATGTCTCTGATGACAGCGTCCACTGCAGCCTCCCACTCCAGTCTTCTTTTGTCAGAGAGAGCATTACCACCAGCGCTGCTTAGCCGTGGCATAGTCACCTATAACAAGGTTGTCAAAATCAGACTAAACACACCATCAAATTAACTCTTAAAGCTAGTATAATAATCTTTTCAGAAGCAGCAGGGCTAAAATAAAAGTTCACAATTTGCCTTGGCAACTCTTCCGTACAAAAAATTAAGAGCGCAAGCTTAATTGGCACCAAAAGAAAATAACTTGACGGCAAGCTTCATTTGTAACCGTATACAAATGGTTTTCTGTTTTTTAGTTCTTTCGTGGCATATCAAGAGAGCCAAAGAATTTTAAATAGATTTTTGAACTAACGGGCGGATGTAGCGCTCTGTAGATCAACTTTTCTTACAATGTTTAACCTAATAGGATTCTAACATAATTTACATAAACCTATTAACCATAGTTAGGTATGCAAGTAGAGAACAAGAATAATGCTAGTATAATACTTATGTAAACATTTAATTCGTATATCGGTGCATCACTTAAACAATTTTATGACTACAATACTATTCGTGTACCGCAAAGATTTATGTGTCTACAATGTAAGTAACGGCATGTGCAGCATGAAAGCTTTATGTATTTTATTAGCCGCATTTAACCAACGAGGAACTTGCGAATTCAATTTTACTACTAGACTGCTGTAATATACAGTACTCCGTTAGAAGTTCAAACGTGCAAACTATGGAAGTTTCTGCTCTATAATTAAATATAAAAAGAGTTTTTCTGAACAAACATCAATGTAATTTATTCTATCAAGTGGAACTACGGGTGAACGAGAAACCCGTATCAAGTTAGAAAACAAAATCAGTCAACAACGACGAAACGTCGGATCTTTTGATTGAAGGTCGCAGCTCACAGCGCTGACGCACTTTTATAATAGTTCCAAGTTTTATGACCACTAGATCGGAAACTATAAAAACACGATAAGACATTCATCTTGTGAATTGTAAAATTCAATACTGAATTTTTACCACACTAGTATAGACACCGTACATTTTATTTAAAAATTTAGAATAATTTGAAGAACTACCCAGAACCAAGCTTAGGAATTTTAAGAACATGTACATATTATTTACCTATCTGAAAGTGTTATAACTTTCGTGAGACATACTAAATATATTATTTTGTTTCTGTCGCGCTGTGTCGCGTCGCGGGTTGCGAAATTCTGAGCCTCTAGCATGGCTTGAAACTAGTCGAGTTCCTTGTCAAATACTTACGTGAGTAAGCCGAAAACAAAATAATATATCTGAAAGTACATACGGTAATTTTAAGTTTGAATTCCAAACGCCTGGTACAACTCTATTTCCAAACAAGTAATATACCTACACTTTTCCCGCAATGTAAAAGCATTAGAAAATAAGGCAAGCATTACTGCACGAGACGTGAATTTTATAGGGCACTAAAGCTAAAAGGGTGTATCTTGCGACATTGAAGCGGCCTCGATGTGGTATTAGGCAAGCTATACAAAACATTACTGGCGATGTTCGATTGATTCTCTTATACAAACAGCACTGGTAAAATTATCGGCTTCAAAATACCTAAGAAAAAATTTAAACTTATTTTAAGAAAATGATCCTGGCGTATGAAATATGCTATTTGTGCCTCGCTTTGTGTTCCGTATAATGACGTGGTGGTAAACGACGGCGAAAATTTTGTAAGCTGCAAAATAAAGAGTTTAATGTAAAATTTTAATGTGTGTGATCCCAAAAGCCAGAAACATAATTACTTTGTTTGAGATCTGGCAAAATACCTTGGGAGGTGAGGTCCGAGGTTTTACCATAGTATCGGGACCGGTATAGCTTTTCTGTAAAATATTATACCTACTTAGTGATCCAAATTATCTTTTGTACATGTAACAAACAGGTTTATTTTAGTGTTAACAAAACCTTGTTCACTACACTAGTACAATCAAACCATCCTTCGGTTTTCATTACTAACATACATCACTACAGTGAATAGTGTATAGATATCAACAAAGAACAACACATTGGTATAGACTTAAAACATAAAATAACTTTAAAAATAAATCCCTCACGAACTAGAACGCAGAAATGAAAAACCAAAGGACGGATCTGACATAAATAAATATGACACACAATCAGTGAATCACAAGCTTTTGAAAATGTATACAGTAGGTACCTGGTTTGCAAAACAACTTTAGAATTGAATCATTGAAAAGTCCTAAAAATATATTCTAAAACTGACATATTTATTAGATTAAATATCTTCGCTACGACTGCTTGAATGTTTACACATCACACGTGTGAGTACTTTCTGGCTTCTTTAAACAAGGCATCAATCACAGAGTCGCGCAAGGAGTGCGAAATGTTTATGCTATCGACGAACATCTGTCAACACAAACCTCTGATCTCCCGGCACGGATTCGATGCTTTGAATGCATTTCAATGCAGTCCTGTATACCAGCATTCAAATAACTTAAGATACGGTGACCCCATTCGCGTCAAAGTGAACATAAATAGCTACTTACCACTGTAAGTACTTTGCGAAGGTCGCTGTGCAGTGCAGAGACATCCACCCCTCTGCCGGCGTCGCCTAACCTTCGCAGCGTGTCTGCCAACGGGCCGGAAAGCGCCCGAAGTTGCTGCCAAGACCTGGCATACTGCCGCCTCACCAGCTCGATAATCGTAGAAGTCAGTGCCAAACCGATTAAAATGTAAACCGTACATATCAACATGTACTTTGGTCTTTCTGGGAAAAACAGAAAAGTATGTATTTCAAAAGTGTTTATTTCTGTTACTCGGTATTCTAGTAAAACGTTTCCCCACACAAGGATTTTCTCCTGTGCCGTTACACCCAGACCCAGACACGGAACAACAATCTGTGGATCACACAAAGAGTTGTTTGTTGCGGGAATCGAACCCGCGACACGTTGTGCGGCAGCCAGTTAGTTGTCCAGCAACCGCGCCTACCGCGCAGTTATCATATAGTAGTCATTATAAATAATTATATATTTTATTTCATTTTTCACAAGTCAACTTACTAGGGACGATATCTCCAAATCCAATTGTGGTCATAGTAATGAAGCAAAAATAAAATCCGTCATAGAAAGTCCAGTCATCTTCCCACATTTTAAATAGGCCTGCACCCGCTGATAAATACAAGAATAAGAAGCCTACAGCTCCCAGGGCATATAGTGTTCTCTGCCCAGAAGGATTAGCTTCAGAAACTCTACTACAGCACTCTGAAATTACCAAACGTTAAAAACAAAATAAGATTGTTCAAATGGGAATGAGTATACAAAATACGAATTGTCTTTTTACTTACTTGGCATCGCAGGCAGTTGCTTAGCGATTATTGAAACAAGTGTAGCAAACACACGACCCAAGTCCGCAATGACAGTCAATGTAAGAGGTATTCCAATAAGCGCATAGGCGATACAAAACAATCTCCCCCAAAAAGTCTCTGGAACTATGTTACCATATCCTAAAAAAAATAACTTATTGGAAACACTACTTATGTAATAAATATTAATTTATTTCCTAAAGCTTATAGGTAGCTCATTCGAAAACAAAGAAATAGGTTTAAATAAATCCTGATTCAATGCTAAAAATATTATGCTTACATCTTCGTACACACCTATAGTGGTGAGCACAGTCGAAGAAAAGAACACAGCTTGCAGTATGCTCCATTTTTCTTCAACCGGAGGAAAATTGTTCTCTACTTCCAGGGCCAATCCACTCGAAGACGCTTCCTCGAGCACCTTTTGAAATATTTAATAAAAAAAATATTGTAGTAATTTTGGCTTACAAAATAACCGATTTTCTTCAATTCAAATACTGACTGCAAATTTGTATTCCTGTACTAATTCCCTCTGAAATTCTAGCACAATAAATCGATGTATGAAATCTGTATCAGTAATCTACTTATTAAATTTAGATTATTTTTATTCCTTTTAACCTTTACTTACCCTCTCGTATATAGCTAAATGCTCGCTGAGTAATTTGTCAGCGCTATCAATATCCGTGCCATTATTGCTGCGTTCGGACACGAAACGTATTAAGTTCCATCTCTCGGTAAGAAGTCGCTCTCTATGAAACTCTTGCTTGGCCATTTCAGCTGGATACTCCAGAGCTCGGAATACCTAATCAAAAACAAAACATTTATTAATAATACGCCGATTATAAGATATTGGTATATTTATTTAAGAAAAATAAAATATATTTCTTATATAAATCAGTTCAAGTAGGTAATATGGGAGTCAAATAGGTATCAACAAATAAATTTTATTAAATAAGTGGAATACATAAAAACTTACACCTTCTCTATTAGGTACGACATAATAAATATTTTAGTATGCTTAAATTCTTATTTGTTGTTTAATTTAATTCTAAAAGTCTGCAAATTCATCCGGGTAAAGGCAATCTGGAGATGAAACAAGCAATTTTTCTGGAAAATCTCGAAAATTACTGGTGTCTCCAGGGTTTTTAACTTCAGGCTTATAAGGTGGTACTGTTTTATTATGAAGGAGCGCTCGCCATTTTATGTCAGAAAACCAAACGTTGGATTTTATTTCATACACCTTCGATAAGTTTGAACACAGACGTGCAGTGGGGTCTACTTGTAAGAGCTGTTTCAACAAAAATTTGCACTCATTAGACATTGTTGGTGGTGTTTTAAATCTGCCTTCAACAATCTTTTCATACAACGTAATGGGATCTCCACTACAAAAAGGCGGGTAGCCGGTACACATTTCATAAATAAGCACCCCAAGTGCCCACCAGTCCACAGGAAACGAATATCCTTTAGATAATATCATTTCGGGTGCCAAATATTCAGGAGTCCCACAAATTGTCCACGTTCTACTTTTAATAATTTTAGCAAAACCAAAATCAATTAACTTTATATATCCATTCGCGCTAATTACAATATTCTCGGGTTTAACATTTCTGTGTATCACACTACAATAGTGAAGATATTCCAAAGCTAAAACCAATTGAGCTGCATAAAATTTCATCAAATCCTCCGATATACATCCAAATTTCTTCAACAGACTAAACATTTCTCCACCTGCTTGATAAGGTAACAAAAAGTAAACATAGACATTATCTTTAAAGCCATAATTCAAAGTCATTAAAAATGGAAATTTTATGCTCTGTAAGATATTTTTTTCCGTGTACAGATGTTTTACACACTGTTTCTGGACTATCAGTCTTTTATCAACCGCCTTCATTGCATGGTATTCAAAATTGTCGGTATCACGAACTAAATACACTACTGAGAATGTTCCTTCACCAATAGTCTTTATGATATCAAAATCTATTACAGATTTCTTACAAAACGTGTTAATATGGAGCTTCTTCTCAAATTCGAGTTTTAATACGTCCAAAATTTTTAAATGTTCAATTTGCTGTTCGAGATCGAAATCTTGTGCAAATATTACCGGTGCCGATATTTTGTCGTCTTTCATTATTGGTTTTGATTTTGAACTAGCTACAATTTAACAACAAGATTACCATACATCTATTACGAATTATATGTCAATCAAGAGTATTATAAATTGTCGCCATAGACATGATGCAAATATGGTGTTCCTCCTACTTGCTCGAAAACATCAGTTTTGTACTTAGGCTGTATGTACCTGTGATTTTATATAGAAGATATGATATGAATTGGTGGTATAAAATAATTGCCTCGTTTGTCCGGTGATCATAAACCTAGAATGAATTTTAACCACTAACTCCCCAACAATTCCCTATACTAGACTCAAAAAGTAGGTTGTATACATTATACATTTAAAATATTCGCATTGCGTAATGGCTAATTCCTGCTCTACCTACAATTTCGGGAAATAAAAAGCGTGATGTTATTCTTTCATTTACATATTATGAAATTGAACCAATGGAGTGTCTGCTACTGAACGAAATTAGCTTATAATAAAATTATATCCATGAGTTGGAAATCGCCAAACAGCATCTCATTTCTTTTTCTTCTTTTGTCTCATCTTTGTTCTCGGCATTGCGATAGATATATAACTGGTTGATATGTACATAATATAACTAACTTTTTTTTTAAGGGGGGAAAATCATCGAATGACTGCTCCCGCCTGGGTGAGGCGGAAGGGAGTGTCAGACTCTTACTGACTAAAAACCACCCCGTTCCTTCTCCTGCACGTCGAGCCGAAGCCCCGGTTACCCGTTAGGTTCTCCGCGACAATATAACTAACTTAATTTAGGTATTGCAAGCTTACTATTTTCGAGGGGCGCTATACATACGTCTTTGATACCAAAATTATATTGACCTAAACTAAATAATCACTAACACTTGTTAGAATATACAAAAGAATATAGAAGCTTTTCTATAAAACTTCTTTCTCGAACTTCTATACGTGCAGTAAATATCTGGTGTGCTTCGACCACACTACCAACGCACTGTACAAATTGATAATTTTACATTCAATAGAAATTTGTAATGTTGCAGCCAACGGATAGGCACGATTGAAATCATTTACAATATTGGTTGTATGAGCATCTTTTGTATGGCATGACAACTATTTAATTATTCTGAGTTGTTTTAGTGATTTAATATGATGATTGGTAGGCTGAATAAATCTACACAGAAAATAAAAATCATTGCTATTTTGATAATAATAGTATTCTATAAAAATGTAGGTATACATAACACTGAATGATCTACATTTTACTGTTTGCTTATTGCAAATATCTATGATTTATTGAACAGTTGAGAAACTTATATCTTGTTAACGCTATATAACTGTTATGATTTATCATACACAACTTTCAAAAGTCTTTGAATTCCTCCGCAAAAAGACACGTGTCGATTTTTCGGAGCTTGGTTTGAACTATATCGGGGAAGTTGCTAGTCTCACCAGGACCCTGTGGGTCTGGAACAAACGGTGGAGATATTTTTTGGTTTAAAAGATTTGTCCAGTCTAAGTCTTTAAACCAGGGGTGAGTTTTAACACCAAAAGCTCCTTCTTTTTGAGTCCCTAAACGCCTTGTTGGATCCACTTGAAGAAAGCCCTTAAGGATACTTTTGCAATCATTGGTCATCGTTCTTGGACATTTAAATTGGCCATCCAATACTTTCTCATAAAGTTTGCTGGGATCTGACGCAAAAAACGGCGGATTTCCGACAATCATTTCAAAAATCAAAATACCAACCGCCCACCAATCGACTGCAAAATTATACCCTCTGGACATAATGATCTCTGGTGCTAAATATTCAGGAGTCCCACATAGTGTCCAAGTCTTTTTCTTTATTATTTTACAAAATCCGAAATCACAGAGCTTAATGTATCCAGTTGTTTCTATTAATATATTCTCTGGTTTTATATCTCTGTGAATTATATGACAATGATGTAGATATTCTAGTGCCAAAACTAATTGACCAACATAGAATATTGCTAAGTTTTCAGAAAAACTTCCATATTTTTGTAAGTAAGTAAACATTTCTCCACCAGAAACAAAGGGCAAGATAAAATATAAATACATATTATCTTTAAAAGCATAGTCTAAGCTTACAATGAATGGAAACTTCACACACCGTAGTATTTCTTTCTCAAGTATCAAGTGCTTCACATGCTTCCTCTGCACCACGATTCCTTTATCAACAACTTTCATCGCGTGGTAGTTGAACGTACATTTGTCTCTTACTAAGAATACTTCACCGTATGCTCCATTACCAATGGCTTTGATTCGGTCGTAGTCATCAGGTGTCTTGGTTTCTGTAGGAGGCTCACTGAATTTTTTTGCAAACTCGTCTTTAAGCACGTCTAGAAACCGTTTGTGATCTTCCTGCTGTTGCGGAAAATATTTAGGCATACCTCGTTATATAAAATTAAAAATTCCATTTAAAAAAACTGTCTAAATTACTAAATCACCTCTAAAATTAAAATATTTGTAAACATACGTACAATTATGGTAAATACGTTACTATGTGACGTTGTATGACGTTATCTATAACAGATAACCTACCAAATGTAGTGGATAATAATTGATTAAAAACTTTTTTGTCTTTTATCAAAATAGTTCGTATCAAGTTCGTAGGATCTCTCAGTCTCCCAATGCAAAAAGTTTCTTTAGGATCTTTTTTTTTAAATGTGTAAAGGTGGCCACACCTTTACACATTATATATAGATATGGTATATATCTATGCCAATAGATATATACCATATCAAATCAGTGAGGTGTGGTGACTTATTTGATATTAGTTACCCATTACTTTGTATTTTGTAAACTAAACATAGGAGAAGCGAAGAATAAGTAACAACATAGATAGTTAAATATTGGAATAATTCTACCCACACTATATGACTACACTACACTGCACTGGAACTTGTGTTTTGGTGTTTACCTTATTCCACTGTTTAACTGTGCTTTCGTCCATTACTTATTATATACTCCTTGGAGTCGCTTATGTCATTCGTCTAATATATTTCATAGAAAAAGCTATCTCTTCATTTGTTATTATAGTGTCATTGCAATAAAGAGTAATAGATTGAGAATAAGGATTGCAATTACTGTATATTTTCTATTCGCCCGTTTTACTTGCCCAGTTTTAAATAGCTATAAATGTACCAGTGTTAAACTGGTACGATATTTATTTGTAGATTTTTCAATAACTTATTCAAACTGTTCGGCATAGGGGAAGGCGGACACGAGATGGCCGAGGAAGTGAAATATTCTTTCTCACCGGACCATCAGGGTGGATATCCGCGAGCTAAACAAGAACAATACTCGCTCTATTTACGTAAGCTTCATCAAGACTTTATAGATTCATGGAACGAAAAATCTGAAAGCAACGCGAAATTGAGCGACTTTGAAAGATTTAAAGTCCTTGGCACAGGAGCTTTCGGAGTAGTGTACCTCGTAAAACACGCGACCACTGGGAAATACTACGCAATGAAAGCTTTAGAAAAAGAAAAAATAGTTAAATTAAAACAAATTGAACATAGTTTTTACGAGAAGAAAATTTTGTGTGGGCTTAACTTTCCATTTGTTGTTTACATGAAATATTATTTTAAGGACAATGTATATGTATACTTTGTTTTACCATTCATATGCGGTGGAGAAATGTTCACTCACCTACGAAAAATGGGGAAATTCGAGGAAAATTCTTCTAAATTTTATGGCGCTCAAGTAGTACTCGCTTTAGAATATCTACATTCATGTGAGCTGGTGTATCGTGATTTGAAACCAGAAAACATTTTGATTGACAGAACAGGATACATCAAAATTACCGATTTCGGATTTTGCAAGTTAATACGTGGTCGAACATGGACACTCTGTGGCACTCCAGAATATCTGGCACCAGAGATCATTCTTAGTAAGGGTTATGGGATGTCTGTAGACTGGTGGTCACTTGGCATTCTATTGTTTGAAATGAGTGCTGGTCATCCACCATTCTTTGCTTCAGACCCTATGAGAATATATGAGAAAATTGTAGCTGGTAAATATAGATGTCCTGGTCATTTTACAACTGAACTGAAGGATCTGATCGGACACGTTCTTCAAGTCGATGTAACGAGGCGTTACGGAGTTCTTAAAGATGGTGTTTTGGATTTTAAGAATCACAAGTGGTTCAAAGAAGTTGATTGGGACAACCTCTTGAATAGTAGAATACACCCACCGTTTATTCCAAAAGTAAAATCTCCCGGTGATACGGCAAATTTTGATGCATTTGAAGAAGAAAAACTTAAAGAAAGTCCTGTATGCCTTTTTGAGGAAGAGTTTATAGATTTTTAATTTTTTAACGCACAGACTATTGTTGCTATGCGGCACTTTAATACAATAAGGAAATAATTTAGTTTAAGTACATATGGTATTTTAAGTTTTCACAGCAAGTAATGAATACGTAACATTTATTCGATTGATAAATAACACAATATGCTTATGTCTGTCACATTTATTGAGACGTGCTTTGCTTTTAAATATAAAATTTATTTACTTATTTATTTTGAAATTGATGTTTCATTTTATTTATTTTTTTACTTTCTTAGATAAAAATTATCTCATCGTCGAAAAGTCAATAGAACTTACCAACCCTCCGCCGCCAGTGTACAACATGAGAGCCACGAAGAGGCCCACGTGGGACAGAGCCGCCCTGGGCTCGAAGCTCCCCCACTTGGACTTGGGGGGAGTACCCATCAAGGTCTCCGTCTCCCATGACACGTTCTTCACGTTTTTGCACATATTGTCAGGTCCTTTTCACTTTCACTAATAAGAACACCATTTCTTGTTCGTGTTTTGGGTTCAATCACTTGTTTTATAGTCCATTTTGTGAAACTGTCGAAATAAATAATAAGTATTATTAATCTTTAATTATTTGTTACTGATGACTACTTATTTACTATTGCAAAAACGAACGAATTTGTAATTACTTTCCTAAAAAAACAATTTATATACATAAAATATTTTGTCGCACTGCAGTATTAGATTTGAAAAAGTACTTGACTAATTGACAAAGTCTTACTGTCAAACCCTACTCAAATATTGAAGAAGTCGGTGTGACCTAGAAGTTCTGGATCTTAAATTTTTGTTACAATCGGTACCTAAAAGCTCTTGATTTTCGAGTTTTCAAAATCATTGTATCCTTAGCTATTGCTTTTGTATACCATTTGTAGAAACTAAAGGACCCGTTTGGCAATCTGCCAATAACTTACTAACCGAGTTAGGGACGCACCTCGATCTTCTAATAAAAAGAGAATTTGAGACAGACTCTGGAAAACCCAAAATGATAATGAGAAAGCCAAAAATACTTGGTATTGCCGGTTTTCGGACAAAGAAATTCCGAATTGTGTATGAAAATAAACTTGTCGTAACATGGTGCTGACTAATGTTACTACCTACATAATAAAAATAAATCTGTCTACCGCTAACGAACAATTCGCTAAAAGATAACATTACATAAATATAATATTCACCATAATTTTCCATGTCTCAGAAAAATTTAACAGTGTGTATTAACGGAAACCATAACATCAGATATTTAACACTATTAGAAATGTTTTTATATTCACTTGTAGATTCGCTCTACTTGTGTTCTAGAGGCTGTATGAAATATATTATGACAGCTACACTGGTTGAATATTTATGGTCTATCATCATTATTCCAGGGTACAACCATAAAAGGTACAACCTACGCTACATGTAGTGTATCTATCACCTTCAGGGATAAACAGATATGACGTGTTCAATCAAAATATAGAACACATAAACCTAACATGACGTCACGCCTTTTAATCCCAAAAGGAGTAAAGGTAGTGGACATATACAATTCACTACTAACTTTATATATTTAACTTAAAGTGAAAGTCAAAATCATTTATTTCAATTAGACCAGGAAGGCACTTTTGAAAGTCAAAACTAAATATTGAAATATAAAAAATAACACTGATACCTTAATTATATTTTACCTTGTAATAAGAAACTAAGACTTTAGGTCGGACGGACGAGTCTGAGCTCGTCCATCTTTTACACAGGATTCATAACAAAACCTATGAAAAGTGAAGCATTAAGTTCAAACAAAAGTACCTAATTGATTTTAGATTACTTTGTAAGAGAGAGAGAGAGTTTGGGAGACAAGTAACTGAAAAGAAAATACTATCCTATTTTCCCCACAGAGCTGAAATGGTGACGGCATAAATATTTCTTAATCCCACAATAAATGGTAGTGGACGTGTCCACAAATTGAATTATGTTGACAAATTCCCAGGATCATGGAACTACGTGACTTTGTTATAACGTGTGTGTCCGATCGTATTACACAGTAAGTTATTTTGTATGCATAATAAACTAAAAAAAATAAATCATTCGTTCGGAAAAATGACCCTTAATAATAGTACTATATACTAATTTCCTTATTCAAAACACCTAAATATTGTATTTCGTGCAATTTGGCAAGTCTCACAAAGGAATCCAGGTAGATGCCAAGAATATTCTTTTCAAGAAAATATTCTAAATGCTCTTTATTTTTAATTTCTTTCTTACTTTATTTAAAATGTTCTAAGTCTTTCTCTTTATCTTAAAACGAATTTAAATAAGTCATTCAAAATTTGATACCATATTTACTGATTTAATTAATATTAAAATGGTTTAGTCACTAATCGTACCAATTTCATACAAAATGTATTTTAGTTTTGTATCTATATATAGTCGACTTTTATAAACTACTTCGATACACTCTGAGGCGGGTTTAAACCTTTATCTTTAACCTCAAATAGACGGTGATAAATAGAACAGGTAGTGAAGCTAATGTAGCTACAAATAAAGAGAATTGCTGAGCCTTCGTATGTCTGTAAAGATTGTGAAAGTGATACACTCTACAGAGCTTCCCTGTAATTTACTTGATTACAAAGGATTAATAATAATTACCTAGACTTAACTTGGTTTACCTAGCTACAGTTGTATAAAGACTGGTTTAATTAAAGTATGTAAGCTTTTATCATGAAATGCAAAGGGATAATAAGCAGACATTAAAATAATTAATATTGGTTGGTATTAATAGTAATTTATCGATTGAATTGTAATTATTGTCCTCTAATCGAGCAACACGTGAGTTTTAAATAAATTATTTAAAATTAACATTGATCTATTGAAACTTATCTATATCTAAAGTAAATCTCAGCTTATAAAGTTGAAAAAACTCGTTAAAAACAACCTGCAATGCCGTAGAGTTACATAAGTGTAACTAGATTTTCCGGCGTCTAGGTAATGCCATGAAAATGGGCGAGCGGTTTGATGTTTATCGTTTATACACTCTCTATATACCAAATATTTTTTTCTTATATACGTAAACACAATTACCTATATGATAGAGAAGAAAAAAAAGATAAACGAGCGTTCCTATGTTAGAAAGAAGTGATCCCCTTCATTGATAAATCGTATGATTAATATCCTTACTTACGCAAGTTTATTCGTGTATCCTTCCCACACAGTTTATTTGCGATTAGATGTTAAATCTAAATATATTCTAAAACTTATTTACAAGTCAGTGTCAATTCAAAATATGTTCACAATCACAAGTTGTCACAAAGTTAGGAAGTTCCGAACGATCTTTTGTGGAACACGGCGGGATCGGCGAACATGCTCACCCGCCTACGACTCGCGAATAACTGAAAACGTTCAAGCTTTCACGTCTCTGAAACTGACGAGTGCACACAGGATGGCTTTCAGCGCTCCATATCGTGTTCCTTAAAGCCTGGCTGAAAGGTTTTAGTGAATAACTGTTTTAATGGTCGCTGAAAATAAAATAAAATAACTGGTGATGGTAGGTACGGTTCATTTAGATGTATAAAGAAAACAAAAGTCAGTAATGATGAGACAAACATACTATTGTTTTGGGTATTTTATTAATTCAGTGGTTAATATAGGTACCTACTCTCTATAAGGAGCGCGCATGCCTATATTAAATATAATTAAAATCATTCACATAAAATAAAAATTACCTAGGTACACTTAGCTTAACTCTTTCCATTCGAAATAAACAAGTCAAAGTTACCATAAAAATATAAGACTTCCTTAAAAGTTACAGCTTAATGTTAGGCTCATAATAAATAGTATTTGATGATATCTCACTAATTAAGACGACAAGGCCACGACCACCGAGCCCAATTAATCTAAACGCAAGCGCCTGATCGTTTGGTCTGATGTAAAACGCACCTCATTAATATTTCGTGAGCTTCCTGGCAGGCGCTATTTCATGCCGGAATTTCTGAAGATAAATATGAATAGTTTTAATGGAATTACGTAACTATTGTGGTCAAACAATCAACTCTCTGATGAGTTCCAATCCGGTATAATTTCAAAGTTTGCACATTATTCTACCTTGGATGCTGATCCCTTTAGTTATGCAATTCTAAATTAACTAGTTCCTGAACTGACAATTAGAGGGTATAGTTTATATAATATAGATAATTAACCATGTAACTAACTAACTGATTGCCATAATGTTATACTTCTTATTATACTTAAATTGTTTACAATATAGTTGAGTTGAGCGGTGCTGGTGTACGTGTAATAAGTATTCGTGAACGGGCGCCGTCAATTGGGACCGGGCAGCTCCAGACTATGATTTTATTGTCCATAAGATTATTGTGTGATCCACAGATTGCTGTTTCGGGTCTGGTCTGGGTGTCATATGTATGTGAACTTGTATGTTTGTAAACGCACCCACGACACAGGAGAAAGTCCTAGTGTAAGGCAACGTTTTTTTAAGAAAAAAAAACAGAAATAAAAAGTTTTAATAGCAATACTTATACTGAAAATGTATAGGTAGTATTTAAAATGCTTTGCTAAATCCATAATAAAGATATGATACTGTCTTACATTAGAATTTAAGTGCTCATTAGCAACAAAATATGCCTTGTACTAAAGTAACTATAGTCCTTTACATCAGGTGTCCCCTTGCAAATAGCCACATTTACGGCTATTTATTTGGAGCAGGTAAAACCTTACCTACATGTAGCCTTTGGGTGTCATATTATCGAACGTTTTGGGATAAAAAGAGAATCTGATTGCTGATATTCGGTTTCAGAAACTCCTTGTAGACAATTTAGATTTAAAAACCGAAGAGTATGAGCTGTTTAATAATAATCTAATTATAATAGTTTTTTTTTTTGAGGGAGGAAAATAATCCAATGACTTCTCCCGCCCGGGTAAAGCGTGAGGGAGTGTCAGACTCTTACTGACTAAAAACCAACCCGTTCCTACTCCTGCACTTCGAGCCGGAGCCCCGGCACCCCTTAAGTCCTCTGCGGCTCCGTATCGGCATCAGCCCTATTCGACCCCATCTGTGGTAGCCCCTTAACGCGAGGGAACGCGAATCGTACCCGCGATTCATCGACTTAAATATTTTATTGTAATAAGAGGATGTTTGTGTGACATATAGGGTTAACTCAGTAGCTATTCGCACGGTTTCACTTCGTCTACAGTTCTATTGATCGTATAGTGATTTTTTATAGCTTTCCTCTATAAATGGACTATGCAACACATAAAATTATTATTGAAATGAAATGAATGAAATGAAATGAAACATTTATTTGTGAAACGTTTAAATTACCAGTAGTTAATACCAGTAGTTCTGAAGATGAAGAGCCTTACATTATAGTATATAGATTTCATTTAAAAAAGATCAGGAAATTTCAGGACATTTAACAAAGATCCAGAAATTTCAGTTGCAATTAACCCAGCGTTTTAGATAAAGAAAAAAGCATTTGTTAGATAGAAGAGACTTAACGTTATGGTATTAGGTTTTCTTTGAAAAATCTTAATGTTGATATAACTTTTCTTCATAAAGGAATCTTAAATACTATCGACTAGTAACCGATAAGAAAATATCAGAAAATATGTAATGCGTGTAACAGAATTGTAAATGATGATTACAACTGATTAATGAAATTGGCGCCGAAAAGATAATATTCTAAATTATCTACAGACAGATTAATTTTTTTTTTTTTTTATGGAATATATAAGCCGGTAAACGAGCAGACGGATCACCTGATGGTAAGCAATCGGCGTCGCCCATGGACACCTAGAACACCAGAGGCGTTACAAGTGCGTCACCGGCTTTTTGGGGATTAGGAGTTTGAGGATCGTTGGGGATTCAGGGATTGGGGAGATTGGGGAAGGGGAAGGTAATTGGGCCTCCGGTAACCTCACTCACACGACGAAACACAACGCAAGCGTTGCTTCACGTCGGTTTTCTGTGAGGCCGTGGTATCACTCCGGTCGAGCCGGCCCATTCGTGCCGAAGCATGGCTCTCCCACACTTGAAATACTTAATGATGATATTCTCGGCTACGATTACGATCTTACAAACTGTGTAGATAGTTTTTAAACAATTAGTATCCTGCCTAGCCTAAATCGGCGTTCGGCCACTACCTCGCCTGGTGGTAGGCGATGATGTTGCGGCCGACGATAACCTCGCCCACTTATGAGCAACCTGTTCACCCTGTTCACATCCACCTTAACATTCTAACAAAGTTTCGAACTAGTGATTTCATATGAGAACATTACCTACTTTTCTAACATCCTGGGAATATATTCCCAAGATTAAGCAATCAGTCAAGGTCAAGGATCGACGGATCAATCATTTCATGAAACAAGTTGATATTTATAATTAGGTACATATAATAGGCGTCGTTAAAATTCATGATACAGTTTTAACGCATTTTTTGGAACTAATCACTGAATTAATCTGTCAGAATTGACGTGTTACATCATTGATATTTTGGCTGATTAAGTTAATAAAAAGCAATTATGTAATTTGTCAGTCAACGTTCACGTGCATTCGTGTATTTGACTAATTTATATTTGTTTTATTTATTACTAGCGACCCACCCCGGCTTCGCACGGGTGCAAAATGCATGTATTATACATACAAACCTTCCTTAAGAATCACTCTATCTATTAAAAAAAACTGCATCAAAAGCCGTTGCGTAGTTTTAAAGATCTAAGCATACATACGGACATACAGCGAAAGCGACTTTGTTTTATACTATGTATTGATTTTCAGCTATGACCGTCCCATTGCAAGGCAAAGACCTGCCTATATCCTCCTTCCACTCCTCTCTCTGTAAAGCTCTTTGCGGCCAATGCCTCATTTATCTTTATTTTTTCAACAAGACATTTCGAAACAAAATATAGAAGTGTAAAAACCGCCTATCTAAAATTCTTTAAGGGAAAAACATTAGTCACCTACAATTAATAATAAATCTATAAACACCTAAATCAGGCAGAAACTAGTTTTATTATTTCGCGACCTACCGATAGCCGTCATAAATCAGTGCAAATATAATTAAAAGCTATATATCTCCCTAAGCTGTGAGCACTAAGTGATATAATATTATTATGTTCGGGATGATTTATCTTCATAGTCGGAGAGTTATGGGTCACCTACCACGCTACTGTATTCCGTGTTGACTGCAGCCTAACCATAAACCACACTAGGAGTAAGTACTAAGTATTTATAGGCCCATCTCCGAAAGCTAAGGCTTACTGTCATACACACGCTTTCGTCAATTGACGCATGCATGACGATTGTAAGACGAAAACTTGCATCTTGCGTAGAAAATAAATACATCAAACCTATGTCCACATAGCGGCAACGTTGCGTCACTCACTCACATTCTGCATGCATTTGTCAAATCATGCGCCGTGTTACGTGGACGGTTAGCCTTAATCAAAAGTAGTTACTCATTATTATAATTTTGACCATTTCATAAAAAACTAGAATGGAAATTGTATGGTAAATGCACATCCGGGGATTCGAATCCGTATAGAAAATACTACCGACTATTACTTTTACACATTCGGTTATTTCAAGTAGCCAATGATACCAGCACCACTATTCAATCAAGATACGGAAACAGTGTCAGATCCACAAACCTTCCGTGTCAAATGTCAATGGCAACAATGGAAATGACTTGGACAAAAAATTAAGTAAGTAACAACATGTCGTAAACCCTGACATACACTATAGGAAATGCCGATAAACAGATTCATTCGGTCAACTACTGACACCTTCATTTACGGTAGGTAACTGAATTGTGGAAACAATCATGAATCATATTGTTGAATTCAATCTCAAAATTAGTCTTCATCGAATCTTCTTCTTTCGTTACTTATTAAGTGTAAGGAAAGTTTTTATATTTATAGTTTAGGACTTAAAGTAATCGTAGGTTCCTATTTCTGACAAATCCTTTAAAGATTGATTGATTGATCCTATTAAGGCCTCTATAAGCGTATGTAAATTAAAACAATTCAACATGCAATTTAATAAGAAAAACATTGAGCTACAAACAGCTAACTAACAATACATCATACAGCCTGCAGTACATATTACGTAAGTCTAATTCTTATCTGTAGGTCAATCAGGACAAGTCTACTTCTAGAATATCAACCTGGAGTAATGAGATACCTAGAAATAAATGTTTTATAATCTATTAATGCCAACATTCAAGTTAAAAGCCCTTTACAATATGACAAGGTCTGTAACCTTCACAATGAATTGTATATTTTCAATGTTACCTATCCAACTATTAGTGAGTTATTCTCAATGTATCCATCACTAAATTATTAAATCATTGTAACATTTACTTATAAGAAATAGTTATACTTTGTATCACTAGGTAAGTTGATACAACTACATAATACATTATTATGTACCTACATCTATGCTTCCCTTCAGGCAAAGACCGACTAATGTGGTTCCGGTTTTTGCAAAGATCGCATTTGCATATTTCTTAGTACATATTAGCATAATGATACCCATCGATACATAATTACATGTTATAGGTACGCACGTACTAGTACTTGCAATGATTTAATGTGCAAGTAAGTACTAGGTAGGTACCTGTCTCATAGATAGGTAGGTAGATACATAAAGTTTTATTTTAGTTTTTGTCTTAGCTATAATAAATGAATAAATTGAGATAGATTACTTGATTGCAATACAGTGCAGTGACCTCTCTGAACATGGAATAACTTAATTAGATTTAATATAACATTAATGCCTGTATATCCGTTGTATTTAAACACACGTACCTACATATAAATTTCATACAAAAAAGAGGTCAGACAAGTGAGGAAAGTGCATAATTATGTACCTACATATACTTACTTCAGTCTTCCGCAAAAAATCGTTTATTTTTTAAAAGAGAATATCTTCGGTTCATTCACATTTCCCTATAAAATTGTAAGTTCAATGGTAGGTACAAAGTTGAAGGCTTTACCCGGCTTATAAAGCATTGACTTTCGAAAATAGCTTGTAAAACCTCTTTTGTAGTTACTTCGTCAAAAATGATTCATTTCGACAAGATCAGTGAAATACCTAATATGAATACTTTGTAACAAATCATTTCGTAGTTCATTATCACCTGTAGTTCAAAGACCCAGGCATCTCAAAAACACTGAATTAATGAACAAACTAAACATCTATAAAATTCATCACAATATGTCAAAAATCTTCATGTATGCACAAAAAATTAAATTAGCAATCGCATAAATAAATAAACAATTTCAATACAATGAGCCTCTAATAACAGGAAAGTCACTAACAGTACTTGTTATAGCATAGGTGCATATTATTATATTTATTTAATTGTAATGTATTGATATCTTTTTCTTGATTTTTCAGAGGTAACCTCTATAGGTAATGGAGTTTTGAATCGAATCTTACAAGTGGGAGGAGGATCTTTTATCAAAATCTTAAAAGTTATAGATTATCTCGCACAAAAGCTAGTAGTTATTGCAGCAGCTACACGTTTCCTTATGTATCAGTCACGTTTCTTAAGTATTGTTTGTACCTAATTGTAACAAAATTAAGAGTTAAGTACTTATCGGGGATTTTCGAGATCCTCACCAAAAAAAATTGTCATAGGAATCGTGACGTTTCTTTTTTATTACACAGTGAATTGTTATATTAATGGCAAAGTAACAATGAAATCACAAACAATGATATTACGTCACCAAGATGACGACTTCTCCTTTAGTTGAGGTTGAGACCGGCGTGATTTGGAGTTTGAGATCCTAAACTTGATTGATAAGACTCGAGTTTTTTTTCGGGTATCGTAAGCGAATCGAAATTTTACATTAAAGTTTTTTAAATTTTCCTAATTTTCTCAATATGAGAATGGCACAGAATCAATAGGCAATTTACAAACAATTTAACTCGTCAGTCCCTGGTACAAAATGCACCTAAATATAAACTTGAGTTGTGCGTAGTATCTATGTATTTGTCACAAAATACTAATAAAATAAGGTTTAAACCTCTAAATATCCTTTTGAGCGAATGAACTCGATGTTATGTTTTAAGATGACTGAAATGACTTAAAATAAAACTAAAGACTTAAAAAAAATACATAAAATAAGTTTTTTCTACAGATTAAGCGGGTAAAGCATTATTATATTATTAAGTATGAAAAACTCGTACTTAGCTTTGGTTACAGGTCGCATGGCCTAAAGACCTTTGCACACAAATAGGTACCTCACGTATAATTTTAATGTGGACACAGTTTCATTGTAAGAAAAAAAAAATCGTAGTGCAAAATAATTGTACAATAGACCAACTTTTGAGTTTGGCTGAGCCTATTGCCATACACCGGGAATAATTCCATACTCATATTTTTTATTGAAAGCCTGAAAATTAAACCTGACACTTGACTAAATAATCAGAGGTAAAAAAGAACTGTCCGAAATATAATGTGCCTTTTTAACGAGTACACAAAAATATATTTTAGGCCAAAAAGCATTAAGAATAACGCATAATTAATCTATATATATAAAAGGAAGTCGTGTTAGTTACACCACTTATAACTCAAGAACGACAGAATAGATTTGGCTGAAAATTGGTAGGGAGGTAGCTTAGAGCCAGGAGACCGACATAGGATACTTTTTAACCAATACTTATTTTTTACTTTTTACCGAAAATCACGAACGGGGACGGGAAAAATGGGATTACGCGTACGAAGTCGCGGGCAGAAGCTAGTACTAAATAAATACCTTCAAATACATCAGATAAACTTTTAGGGGTGACTCTGGGACAAACATGACTCTTTTTATGATGATTGCTATTTTTATGATTTGTCCGTTGCCGTGACTTTGCTGCGTTCTATAGATTTATATTTTTTTATAATTTTTTTGTAGCAACTTTTTTCTTTGTTTTTTTTATTGACGTCAATCATTTATTAGTGTTTTAGTACTCATGAGACCATGAAGTTGGTGTCGATATATAATTAGCCTGTAAATCTGGTTTGATAATATTATATCTCTAGCCAAATATAATCTCTAATGTAAATTGGTCATTTAAATGTTTGCGAATATTAAAAAGTAATATAATATGAATAGCTAGTTTCTACCCGCGACTTCGTATGCACAATTCCGTTTTCTCCCGTTTCCGTGAGATATTCAGGATTTTTTCTGTCTTAGGAACCTACTCCCAATAATAACAAATACCTACAACAAAAAAAGAATTAGTGAAATCAGTCCAGCCATTTACGCGTGATCCCGTGACCAAGGGAAAAGGGACTCGTTTTTATTTAAATAGATTATTATTACAGTTTCATTATACAGTTAGTTGTGTAATGTATTATTCCTTAAAGTTTTCTTCTCATTCATGAATTTACATACAAATTAACAATGCATCTATTCTTACCACCGGGTGAGATATTGGCTAAACGCCGACCCAGATATAAAAAGGGGGTTTCATGATTGCATCAACTCCTCTTATCACATGTCCAATCTTTTTACCACGGGAGAAGCTATACGACATTTAAATTTCTCTGTAAATCATGGTTTTCTGCATATTGTCATTTTTGAAGGAAAACGAAGGGTAAAGCCAACTACGAGTTTTTAAGGAAATGTTATTGTTGTAAAATGTGACTGCCTCGTTGGCCGAGTGGTCGCAAGTGCGTCTGCCGGGCAAGAGGTCTCGGGTTCGATTCCCCGGGTCGGACAAAGTAGGTATTACTGTGTTTTTAAAAATCTCAGTAGTAGCACGGAGTTTGGAAATGTTCCCGGTATATGGCAATAGGCTCACCCCCTATACATAACATAAATAGTGAAAATTGGGTGTTACATACATTGTATAGTGGCATTAAGTGCCGTAATGTGCACCTTTACCTACCCCTTCGGGGATAAAAGGCGTGATGTTATGTTATGTTATTGTTGTATTTTATTATGTACTCACTTAGGCGATAATTTAGGTACACTATACAAAATCGACTTTCGAGTAGGTACTAGAGAATATTTCCAAGGTGTTTTTGGATCCAAATAATTATAAGAACAAAGATGCAACATAGTGCATTTCTTTCCACTAATTTATTCCTTAAAATAATACGAGCTTAGTATCTACGTATTACGTCTCCTTCTACTTCTTTAGTTCCCAGAGTACGATACGCATTGTAATTAATTACTATGATGTCAATTATAAATTGATTGCTTTTTATAAATGCATCTGTAACACTGCTGAACTCTGTACAATAACAAAAGACTCTAAGCTTCAGAAAAAATACAATTATAGACGTTTACTTGTTAAGATGTCAGGTTTAAAGCAGGGTTGACCACAACAAGTTATTTCTAATCTTAGATTAACAATAACATGTTTGACAAGATTCAGACTAATTACATACAAAGTATGAAAAAGTTAATTATTAATACGAAGACACAGTAAATCTAACAAACTTAATTATGGAACTAAATATAACCAATCTTAATCTCAGTTATTACGTAATGCCATCATTTTTGAAAAAAAATTAATGCTTTTTTTGAAAATGTCAAAGTCGTAAAGATAAACTATAATTAAGTGAAGAAATATTTATATTTTTTAAAATCCACGCCAACAACCTCCTGACAAAGTTCCAAAAACATACTTACCTACTCGCACTTTGGTAACCCTAACTTAAGCCCTGACTCATCAGTACACAGCATTATAGTCTTTACGTGTGAGGAGCACAGTATACAATGGCGTGCCCTATTTTGACAAATAATGACAATGATCATGATATTAATTGAACGGAAAAAGAATCGAGCAGTTAACATAAATAAGTTGCTCTGATCCTGATGGCGCACAGTGTGTGTTGAGCTCTTGTGCCAAAAAGTAATAGATTACTTCGCAACCAGCATTTATTTTTAATCCTATTTAAATTAAACTTTACTTTAACTTACAATGTTCAACAAACAGTATTTTGTCGTGCTCTTACTGGCGTACGTTGCTAATTGCGAAAAATCATATTTACGTAAGTAAAAAATAGTATATTAATTAACTTAATATGCACCTACTAACGAACATAGGCAAAAAACTGTAATTTTCGTGTCAGTCATGTAAAATAAGACAAACACAATAACATTTTTGTGCATTTCAAATTGCTTTTTTTACTAGACCTAGGAACTAAGTATCTACTTAATAAGTAGGTAGAATGAAGATTCATTACTTTATTAAAACGTATTTCAATGTATAAACACAAAGTAATTATTCATAACGTAGTTATCACACCATGCAGCTATCTACCCAAGTACCAATTATCCTATGACCTAAGTTTCATAGATATTTACGTAACTAAACACTTCAATAACTTAGCCCGAGTTATGAGCACGTGTAAAAACAAAGAATGATTTAAAAGACCTATTCTACAAATACAATAGTTTCTTGCATCAACTAACTAACTTACCTAATGAAATAGTAAACATTTTCTTTTGCAACTAATAGAATTATGCATAACAACAGTTTTCCATTAAACTAATTAAATCGAATGATCAAGGAAACATCACAACATCTGTGAACAAAAAGTGTAAATGTATATTAGTAGATACCAGTAGATACTATGAACTTGAACCTAACTAAACCGAGCCTGTAAGTAAAGGTTTAACTTAAGTACCTAATCAGCCTTCAAACTGACAAACGTTGGGCCTCCAAATGACAATACCAGCAGGTAAATAATTACACAAGACAATGTCCTCTTCAAACATTTTACTCGTACTTACATATTTGTAGATTGGTCCCTTTGCATTTTATTACGTACCTGTAGGTTAGTCAACATTTGTCTCATACCCATTAAATAAGATGTACACCCGAATTTTGGTCATACAAAGATACTTAACGAAAAAAGTTAACAGATTTAGAAACCTAAAAAAAATCGAATACTACCTAAGTTAATTAATTGGCCTCCTCAATCGATATTGAGGAGACCAATTAATTAACTTATACTTTGCATAGAAATAGCAAGAATAATACTCATATCAGACCTATTCTTCAAGTCTACGCTTTCTCCTAAATAACTCTGATCTCTTTCATATTGTTGCGAGATATCTTGGTAAGTACTACAATAATTCCATAGTAGACACGCCAGGCCTTTACTGCTTTAGAACATCACAAATCTCTAGTCACGTCAAAAAATGTTTATGCAGTGATTTGCTTGCTTTTTCTGTATTGTTTGATAAAAATGGTTTATAGTTACACATGAGGCGGTTTCGAGCTTCTGTCAGCAAAAAATAAACAAAAGGGAAGTTTGCGATCGATCAACCTTGCGCCGATAAGATTTTCCCCTTTCTTTACATAGTATAAAAATAAAGTTACTAGTAAGGGTTCGAGTTGTAGATATTCTATAATCTGTATAAGTACATAGATAAATACAGCTTTAAGCAACTTATTAAGCTTGCATTTAACTTAATATTCGACTGTAATAATCATATTTCTCATCTTCTTAGCAAGAAATAAGAGACATCTAATAGACTAAGTACATAGTTGTTGGTTTGCGACCACGACCAGTATTTTGAACAGAGTATTAAATGTTTTTATAATATCACATTGCATCGCCGCGACCGCGCACTCTGCTCATGAGCAAGAGCCCCACTGTGTCTCGAAACTAGTAGAGCTTTTCTCAGTATATTCATGTGAGTAACTCGCGTTTTTTTAGATTTTTTTTATTAATAGAGTATTTAATATCTACTCACAGATGTGAGTATCGGTACTTTATATTATTACCAACCTACAGATCACTCGAACAGAAATATTCAGGGAATAAAGAACAAGAAAAGAAGATGTTGAATGAATACATGAGTACGGACATTAAAAAACATTACGCTCGGTCACTTGTGCGGACATAAGGTCAAGTTCAAAACTTTTGCCAAGTTAATGAATGCACAATAAGTCAAGGTCGCGCAGATCATTTCTGTTCCTTTTTGCTATTTTCGCGTATTTAATGTAGCATGTTATGTATTCGTGAAATTAATTTCACAAAACAAAGAGAAGACTTTTTATTAACACTATACTGTCAAAGTCAATGTGTAACCAACACCGCCGTTTTCAATAAACATTTACGTATGTAGTACAAAATTAAACAAAATTTATGCTAATTTATCAAGATAAACATTCGATGTTAGAAAACAATGATAAATATTATTGAAAAAGTATCAAAATAATCAATACATTTGTCAACTTGCATCAAACTTGTCAAATGATAATAAAATAATTAAAATATTTACCTGAAAGACAGGCGTGTGTTACTAACGGCGTACCTTTGCTTTTACAATGCATGTTTCATTTCACAATCTTCATTGATCCTAATTTACTTGATAAGATTGACTGCACGGTTGGCGCGGTTGGGCAACTGGCTGCCGTGCAACGTGTCGCGGGTTCGATTCCCGCACGGAACAACTCTTTGTGTGATCCACAGGTTGTTGTTCTGGGCCTAGGTGCCATGTGTACGTAAACTTGTGTATTTGTAAACGCACCCACGGCACAGGAGAAAATCCCAGTGTGGGGCAACGTTCTTAACAAAATGGTATAGATTGTAGGCACTTACAAATAAATACTATATAATACAAGAAAGCATAAAATATGAGTCTAAATAAAAACTTATCTTAACGTTTACATATAACTTTGACTGACATTGATGAGTATTTCATAGATACCTCAAATTATCAAAAAAAAACCCCTGTTGTGTAAACAGATAAGTATCAAGTTGGTAACTCGTCAGAAGCATTTGACGTCCCAAAGTCCCTTGTCTCTGCATATTGACGACAGACGTTGACGTCACGTAAGAATGCAGCTATGACACAGTCCATCACATTGTCTGTCACAGAAGCATCCCTTACCCGTCATTCCGTTTAATGTTAGTCATGTCATGTGATTCGAATCTTACTCTTTATCTAAATTTAATTTTTTTAATTTTGTATTATTTTTGTATCTGTGTGCGTGCCTACTGTCGAATAAATGTCGCGGAGAACCTAACGGGTAACCGGGGCTCCGGCTCGACGTGCAGGAGAAGGAACGGGGTGGTTTTTAGTCAGTAAGAGTCTGACACTCCCTCCCGCCTCACCAAGGCGGGAGCAGTCATTCGATGATTTTCCCCCCTTAAAAAAAACTGTCGAATAAATACTTTTTCTTTGTTTCTTTCTAAAATGCACGGAAAAAGAGATATTGTATAAAAAACTGGCTTTCGCCGCCATTATGGCGGCAAGATAGCGGCGAGAGTGGCACACGTACTAAGGTGCAAATGGAAATCAGAAACAGCAGTTCAAATCTAATCAAATCAAGTGCCAAAATCTAGTCTTCATTTATACCACATTTACATGTTTAATATTTTCATTTATTAACCACTGTTGAATAATAAGTACTATTTATATACACTTTTGGAATAATAATAGGTGGTTTTGATTGTCGTCATGTAATAATTACATGACGACAATATGCCGTCCAGATCCTAATTAGATTCATAAGTGCCAATGTCAATCCAAATTAACCTGAGATAATCATGAGACAGGTTCATTTTCTTCAACAAGATAAAGAAACAGTCTATTATAATATTATTCAAAATTCGCATGGGTTTTTTCCAAGCAGTCAAAAAGTTCTTATGATAAGAATCTGAAGTGATTTTTTCTTAAGCAGATATGTTTTTCCTATACCTTTAAGTGTGCGAGAGCAATGCTTCGGCACGAATAGGCCGGCCCGACTGGAGTGATGCCACGGCTTCACAGAAAACCGACGTGAAACTACTCTTGCGTTATGTTTGGTCGTCTGAGTAAAGTTCCTGGAGGCCTAATTACCTTCCCCCCCCCCCCAATCTCCCCACTCCCTGAATCCCCAACAATCCCCAAATTCTTAATCTCCAAAAGCCAAGTAACGCGCTTCTAATGCGCTTCATGTGAGCCGGGTGTCCATGGGCGATGCCGATTGCTTGCCGTCTGGAGATCCATCTGCTAGTTTCCGGCTTATCTCATAAAATAAATATACCCAATGCAATTTTCTTTGCTAGCAGTTTCATTTGCGTTACCTGATCATTTGTATTTAATAGTATTTTATAAATTTTAATCCTTTTATTGCGCATTAATATCCGTCAGACTAATTAATATCATCAAATCAACACCAACCGGCTATCGTACGAACGCAATCAATCAAATAAAATCGGGCGGAATTATTTCGTTTATTTAATCTGAGTTTGACAAGGTAAACGATACGTGCCCCGTTTGACGATGAATTTGAACACTCGTGACGATTGAATGTGACACGCTGCGTGTACTGAATCTCGATATGAATTATTGATTCATTAAAACAATGACCCCTAATTATGTATTTATGTATACACGGAAAAACGCCCTTTATTTACCCTGTACACCAAAAGAGTTTCCGGAGTCGCTATGGTAACTGCAAGTACTTAAACTAGCTACAATGACTTCAGTTTTTTTAATGTGTATTTTCCATGTTTACACAGTTACGTTTAAAACCAAATACAGCGAAGTTGCGGTTTAATTAAACCACATTTTTCAAAGAAACTATTATACTTTTAAACCAACATATAGTACCTACCTATATATTGGTTTAAAAGTATACGACGACACACACTAATATGGTTGATGGCCGATGTTTAGGTACTAGGTATATAAATAGGTACTACATCACTAACTTTATTTATTAGTACTCTCTTTTATTATTTATTAAAACATATTTTATGTATAAAAAGCGATACCGTAATACTGACTGCCAATTGTCATTCTAACCCATTATATTTAGCAGTATCCTATTTAAAAATTAAACGTCTATATTGAGTCAAAGTCTAATAATTAATTAGGTACGTTTGAAACTTCAAAAATTGAATGTTCCGTCCGTCTGTCTGTCTGTTAGTGAAGCTAGGCTGTTGAGGTTAAGGTAGTCTGTACCTATCTTACTTCTCTCATTCATAACCTAGTTTTACAGAGTTATCAGTATTGTAATAATCTTGGGCGATTGTATTAGTTACTAAGCATTTGAAAGTGTCCTAGGTATCTACTATTGTTATTCTTGTTCCATAACAACGTTTAATGGATCCTAAAGAGAAGGAAGTTTAGTATAATATAACTACTGTTTATTATTATACTTAGTTACTTAGCAAGAGTTGATAGCTAAATAATAATACTAAATCGACTCTTATTAAAATACTCAACACAACACTATTACTAAACGATGTATATTATCAGTCAATATACCTATTATAATAATTTTGCATTGTATTACCCATAATTAAGATTTACAATTGAACGTTTTTAAACAATAATCATCTATCTTTGTCTAGGTCTTCAATAAATCCATTGTTTCATCTTTTCTTTCTTTTATCATAACTACTTTAGGGGAATAAAACTATTAGGTACCTACATATTAAGTCATTCGATGATTTTCCCCCCTTAAAAAAAAGGTACATATTAAGTATTGTTTATTAATCGCCAGTTACTATTATTTTTAATTATTTGCTTTATGTAGGTATATCAAGTCTAGGTTCAAAATGGATACATAGAAATCTATGATTATATAGGTACTATGAGAGACAGGCGTGAGGTTACTTATGTATGTAGGTAGGTACTGCATTCTGTGAAAAATTACCTACTTCCTAGAACCTAACACATCGTACACCTACAGTTATGAATTTTGATGGATAAATTACCATTATTGGTATATTGATAATCAGGTACAAGAAGCAGACACGATATATCGATTATTTTTATCGTCAAGCGCTTATGTTTATACATATCTGTTCCAGCACCCTACATCGTACCATGTGAGTTCAAGAGCGATGACTTCGTGGACTGCGTCAAGAATCAAATTGAGATCGCACTGCCGCTATTCACACTTGGAATCCCAGAAATGGACGTACCTTCAATAGATCCAGTTCACTTGAAGAACATCGAGATTCTTGGAAACGGGCTGAACCTGACCTTCTCGGAAGCTAAAATGCACGGCCTTAGTCAGGCTAAACTGACGGAATTAAAGTAATTTGGACCATAATTTTAATACATTAGTATTTATTTTAGTAGGCCGTCTGACGTCGAATAGACGGCTAAGACAGACGCAATGCGGAAAGATGAAACGAGTGTCGATGTCGTAGCACTCGTAGCACTCGTAGCGTAAATTGTTACACTGCGGAGAAATCCTGTATATAGGTACTCTACGATCAGCCGAGTTGTTACACCTATTTAAAGTTCTGTTAATTTTATAGAGTCTTCAATTCTATTATTCATCTGGTAATCACAATTTTTTAAATATTTTTCTATACCTTCAGTGGCACAGTGGCTTTAAACTGTCAAACACCAAGCGGTCACCGGTGACCGCAACCTATTGTTCTATAATTGTGTCTACAAAACCGGTACTCGACGAGTTAATAGCTGTTCGTGGTGTAAAGCAATGATAAAAATCTATCTTATCTACATAATTTAGTGTACCCATAGCAACTAGTCAATGCCTACTTTCTGGCAAGAGATGTACGTCTACATCGTTACGCTGTTCTAGTCACGTTCTTTGTTTACTTTAGTGGACAACAACATAGGGACGAACTTATATGCATAAATTAAAATTATTTAAATAATTAATTCACTCGTCTAGAATTGAGATACGATCTAGTTTTCCCCATAAAACCTTGAAAGTCGAGGAATACGCTCCGGAAGTCTATTTCTAACTTGCATATTTATTAATGAAGTGATCATTGTACAAATGTCGACGCTCCACATTGTGTGCAAATTATTTCGTTTCGTTACTTATAGAGCTAAGTAAATGAGTAGGTTAGAACTATAGGCAGTCAATTGACTCAATACAATAACTCCATACTTAGGAGCAAATTGTTGGAAGACACGTGTCTATCATAATTGCCTTTAAAGAGTTCCGTAATGCTTTATATCTAAGAGCAATTTATTGAAGATTACGTTTTTATAATAAATTATCCTACGGCAATTTGTAGTAATAAATACTTAGATTTAATAATCGACTAGTGAAGTTGACTTTTGCACTGTCTGTTATGTAAGGAACATGAAGAATGTAATGCATAGATATTGCAGTATCGCATAGTACCGATATACTATTCCTTTTTATTTGTATATTTGATGGGCCAACGTTTAGCCACCATGCCGCCTGGTGGTAAACAATGATGCGGCCTACGATGGAGCACGTCTGCCCATAAGCAACTCATTTGGAAAGTACCTAAATAATGTTAAATTAATCGGATTATACCTCTAATATAGACAAAGTGGTTATAATCCTTCGATTATAAGGTAGTAGTAGGAAGGTAAGTTTGACTTACCTTCTTTAAACATTTCTACTTTTCTTTTGTTTCTCGTTCCTTCTAACAACAGGCATGATTAATATTTTTTTTTAATGATCGATCATGATTGCCATGGTACCTATCTTATCGAAATAACATACAAGATTTAGCATTTGTGTAGCTCGTGCCGTTCAAGATAAGGAAATATTGATTACTTAATTATTATTAACTAGCGATTCAGGCACGGTTTCAACTTTCAACCATTCTACTCGGCTCCGGCTCCTATTAATCGGACAAGGAATCTTCCTCAATAAGTAGCCACTTATGCACCACAAAAAGAATTATTCAATCTAGACTAGTAGTTTCGGATATCAGCGCGGTCAAACATACAAACTCTTTAGCTTTATATAACTTTTACTCATACTTTTTAATATTTACTTTCTAACCTATATGAGGATGTCTAGTTTATATAGGAAACTCCAAAACAACCTTATTGTGTGATGATGTGTCACATCATAGCAGACTTATTAAATAGGTAAAATTTTGTATTTTCAGGGTGCAACTGAGCAAAGGTGAAGGAAAATTTTCTCTATCGTTCAAAAGCAACATGAACTTGACTGCAAAGTACGTCGCCGATGGCAAAATCCTAATTCTTCCGATCAAAGGAAACGGAGACGCATTGGTTGATGCTCGTAAGTACCTGTGACCCAATAATATAATTTTGGATAAAAGCATTATATTTGATATGTTGTTTGTTTTCCTACAAAAGCACCTACGTATTTTAGTCACGCAGCTACCAAATGATGTAGACACACACGTTTCTTGCATCAGACTTAATTGTAGGTGAATGCAAGCTACATATACCTCTAGATCGATATGTGAATACTTCAACTGTACAACATATGTTTGTCATATTACAGTTACAGTTTGGAAAAGGTCATTTTATTTACATGACCCTTTCCAAAGATTTTTTAATCTCGAAAAATTTTCATTTCTTTATTTAACCGTATTAAAACACTAGCTGTGCCCGTAACTTCGTCCGCGTGAAATAGTGATTCAAAGCTCCTCTTCCGTAGGTGATAGCGTGATAATATGTAGGTATATGTATACCCGACTTATTAGTAATTTTTATGCAAAATTTGAAGTAAACCCATGCAAAACTTTTTGAGATCATCCCGGACATGCATACCTACAGATAAACAGACAAACAGACAAATCTATAAACCGTATTTTTTACTTCGATATCAACTGCAGACCACACCGTAAACATTATTTTAAAAAAATCTACCTATGTAGTTTTTACTCTCCTACGATTTTATTATATGTATAGATATAGATAACCAACATCAATATTTCGTTTGTAACTTCCAGAGGGTGTAGAAGTGCACATTGACAGTAAATTGATCCACGAAAAGGACAGCAAAGGTGACCATATGAAGCTGGCTACTCCAAAGTATAGGTATACCATCGAACGCACCGTATTCGACCTGAAGAACCTATTTAACGGAAACAAGCAACTTGGTAAGCTCATTTTCATTTCATCCATCTGAAGTCGTAACTCATTTATGTCATTGGGAGGTATGGATATTGTGTAATAAGCCCAAACTCGATATCTTTACTAGCATAATTATAGTCCAAGGTTCCACCAGACACCTTCTAATTTCATCATCAATATCGACGTACCATAATCTTATATCATTATCATCATCAACAGCCTATACCTAAATGCCCACTGCAAAGCCTCTTCTCACACGGAGAAGGTTTGAGCATTAATCACCACGCTTGCTCAATGCGGGTTGGCGATTACAAACTTATAATTAGAAATTATAAGCTCAGGTTTCCTCACGATGTTTTCCTTCACCATTTGTCAATGGTGTCTAGATAATCTTTGAAAGTACATATAACTCGGAAAAAGTCACATTGGGACTTGCCGATGGTAGGTTTCGGACCCGTACCCTCATGCAAGTGAAGCGGGGTCTTAAACCTCCGGGCCATCACAACGAGATGGAAGATAATCTTATATGGATTATCTAAACCACATATACTTAACTGCTTAAATGCCGATATAAGACACAATAGGAAACGCATTCTGTCTTGCGTAAAGGTTATCTTAGATTTTATTACACAGTTCTTTACAGATCGACCTAATAAAGGCGTGCTAATCAAACATACCCGTGGCCGAGAAAATTATTTTCAAATATTTTACTTACATCTTTTCAGCGGACACAACCCTTCAGTTTGCCAACGAAAACTGGCAACAGTTGATGGATGAGCTCTCTCCCCCGGCCATCAAGCAGATCGTAAAAACCGTCGTCAAAGCCATCAACAAGTTCTTGTCCAAAGTCGACATTCATGAAATAATAAAAGGATATACCGAAGATTAAAATAAGCTGTGATCATAGTCAATAAGAGATGATTAACTCATTCATAAATCAATTAAGTAATTGAAGATAAGATTATTTAATTTCTGCAATTATTGTCACGCTTTTAAGAATTAATTTCGTCTGATGATGATACAGCAGGTTACCTTTAGCGCCTACGTACATTATTTCTTATCGGTATTTCATACAATTTGCTGAAATCTGTGTATTACTATTTGGTAATTGAACATTTCTAATTATTATAAAATAGATACAACTCAACAAACTGAAATCAAAAGTTTACTATGTATTTATGTTAAAATTAATTTATTTAAATTAATAAAGATAATACAAAAACAGTCATTCGTTTTCCCTTACCTAATTCAAAGTAAATGAACAAATAAACTTTCTTTTGTCCGGAATCTGTGAATGTTACTAGTTCCTATAGTAACTCGTTTATTAAGTGTAGGTATGGTAACTCGTTTATTGGTCTATGTGGGCATAGACTAATAAACTACCGATCAAAATAAAAAACAGATAAATGGAGTCAGAAGAATATAATATGTTTATAAGTAGGTATATTAAAATAATTTCAGTCGACGAATTAAATATTAAGCTTAGCCGAAACAATGAGTATTAAAAATATAAGTCTTCGATCAATTAGGTAGATACATCACACATGTTGTTTTGACTTAGGTACATAAACAGAGGGATCAAATACACCTTTGCTAAGCGCAAATATACTTCTTATGTGGCGGTACATAGAGTCGACAATCGCGTAGGTTATGGTTGTACGTCTATTTCATTGCTACTGGTCGTACTGTTGCTGCCTCTTCGTCCTGTACTTGTAATGCCTGAGACTCCACTAATATTCATGGATTCAGTGTCAGTACGGTGGCTGAACCTTTTCAGTGCGGTCGGCCATGGCATACGCCACCCCTTCTTGTACCATTGCACTCCAACAAACACCATGCCTAGGAATACTATACCAACTGATGTTCCAATCAAACTGGCTTGCAGAGCTGGCATTCGATCTGTATACAAACGAAGTATTGGTAAAATAAATTGTTAGAAGTTTCATCTATTCTATTACTGTTCCATGTAAGAGACAATAACAGACTCTTATCTACTACTAGCGACCCGCCCCGGCTTCGCATGGGTGCAATATGCATGTATTATACATATAAACCTTCCTTAGGTATCACTTTATATATTAAAAAAACCGCATCAAAATCCGTTGCGTAGTTTTAAAGATCTAAGCATACATAGGGACGGTGGATAGCGACTTTGTTTTATACTATGTAGTGATATTCCGAATGTGTAAAACTCATTAATTCAGTGCTCAATAATTGTCCTGGTCTAAAAATTATAACTAGGCCAGCCTTGCTCAGCAATAGTGTTTGTGAGCAATTGAGACCATAGGTAGAAGAATATTAGAACATAAATAAAATCTAAATCCTTTGTCTCGCTCGTCATGGCTTTTAATATTGTCAAGGGCTTAAACTTTAAATTATACTTAAAAACCCTTTTCCTTTAAAATCCAAGGCCATATAGTGAATTACTATAACAATAGAGCCTAATGGAATAGGTACTTGAGTAATTGATTCCTAATAACCTACTGTAAAAGACCTTGGTACCCACAACTCTAAAGGTCAATAACCTAAATGAATATTCATGTATAATTATGTTCAGTTAATACAAAACGTCGAGCGTTCATCAGAGCGTTGAATGCGAATTTCTAACTTCGAAATACATAGAGCAAAAAATGTAACACAGTCACACATGCCTCACCTTTATGGAATTGATAAAACAAAAAGTATATTTAATTTTTAATTGAGTTAAATAATATATATGTACATCTATATAAATAATATACTTAATATAATGACGAATAATATACTTACGCTTGACTTGGAAAAGATAAATAGTATCTTTCGACTCCACAACTTTATCGTGTAAAAGAGCTGCGCAGAACCAGTGACCCAAATCATCAGCAGTAACAGGGTCAATAGTAAGAGAGCAGTCGCCGTGACTTAGTTCTCTCCCAGGTGTGAAATAATAACGATTTAGAATGGCACTGGAATAAATAAAAGTGATTTAAGTAATCAAAAGTACTCCAGAGACTAATTTCCTCTAAAAATGGGCCAAAAGCGAAAATTTGCACCATCTCTTGGCTTATAGGTCATTACTCAACTGGGAAATTGTAATTATAGATCATTTAATGTCATTCGATCGACACATTCGCGATGATATGCCATAAAAAAATTTAAGATTTCTTTGATTTAATCTTGAGGCGGGTTTTTAAATTTGAGATTACTTGTCAATAACGTATGTTTGCGATTAATACAAATGCCTACAAATTAAATTGATGAAATGTTCTTACTTATCAGCGGTTACTGAGGCATCGAGACTTATGCCAACAAAAGTGGGTGACAAAAATCTGCAATAATCTAGTGGCCTGGGTCCGTTTGAGGTATGACAATATAGAATGGCAGTGCCACCTATTTCAGTTTGAACTTCTTGTTTATTAGCAGCTAAAGAGCCAGTCACTCGTACTTCCACGTCTTGCGTTACCTCAACACCTATTTGGTATTTGTAACCCATATGGCAAGTCCATATTCCAGAATCATTTTGAGACACATGAGCGAACGTGATCCCACAATCGCCAGATTGCAGATTTTCCCCTGTGTACCTGTGAGAAAGAAAACACATTTAAAAATTAATCTTAAATACTATATACTGCGATCAATCATTCTTAAACAAATGAACTAGTAGATGTAGAATTTACAAATAAATAAAAGATTACCAAAATGGCTGTTCGCCCTGAACCTGTCGCTCCACGGGTGTGTATTGAGAACCATTAGGATGCTGAAACCAACAATACTGGAGAGAAGCGTCCGCTCGACACATTAACGTTAAACTCGTGTTGTCCTCTACGAACACTGTCCGCGTTTCTTCCTCAGGCCCTGAACTGTCCCTTGTGAGTTGTCGCCTTATCCTTGGAGCTTGAAGTGAACGTATTAATTATTATTATTATCCATTTTGACTTTGAAAAAGTGACCACAAAAGAAGACTACAACAGTAATGTAAATTGGCAGGTCATTAAGAATTAACCATTAACGTGAAATTTTTAAGTCAGGGTTGGAAACCTACTTACTAGTTGAGCAACAAGTAGATATCATTCGTGTAGACACTGAGTCACATATCTATAAAGTGCATATTACCTTCTTGCTCAGCGACGGTAATAAGAGCCTGCATAGGTGTCCTTTGATGGATGACATTGCCATCCCTCTCTTGTACTCCAATCGTGCACCGCCAAGTACCGTAATCAGTCGAAGTTGCAGATTCTATCGTTAGACCACAGTGTTTTTTGAAGAAACCATCGCCGTAGTAGCTACGGAGAAATATTTTGATTTTATCTTACCATTGCCTTTGATTTTTATGATTGTAAGGGGTGGTAAACATGGTATACTTTGACACCCCCATTTGTTTCCCACTCTCCTTTGTAAAAACTCAAATTGTATGTAGCTACACAATAATTAAAAAGAACAATATAATGTGTTGACTTTAATAAAAAGACAAATGTTACCAACTTACCTGTACCGACCATCACTTAGACCATCCATTACATTAAGACCAGACGTTTCTGTAGTTTTTTGGAAACGGCAGAAAGTTATATTCTTCTCCGTGTGCAGAATGTTGCAATACAAATGAATGTGATTATCAGCATCTCGAACGAAACCTACATCGAGGCGTTCCCCTAAAATCGATAAATTACTAAGTAAATACCTAAATAATTTGACATTTATCACCAACTTCAACCTGTACCTGTAGCATATTATTATTAATGCACATTATGCGTGGCAAATAGTGATACATTATAATTATAAAGGACAAGTTAGGATAAATCAAACTGTGGATCATGTGGTCTACAATCAATCGATCTGGGAATTCTGGGATACCATTAGGTCTAGCATTACTTAGACATGATTTGGTTGTAGAAACAACTCAACTCAAACTCCTAGGCTTCTCACAACTCGGAAATAATGAAATCGGTGTTTGACTAGTAAGACGCAAAATTATTTGAATGGTCGTTAAATTTACTGCGTTTAGTAAAAATAGATAAGTTACCTACGTTACATACATCGTAAAAACCCAACTTATGACAGGTGCATTAGAACTGGATAATAAGATTGATTATTTTATTTATATCTATTTAATTCTTTAATTATCACTTTGATAAATATTTGATTTGAGTGATTTGATAGCGTTACATACCTATTTACGTACTGTCTAGCGTTTTTCTTACTTGCAATCGTCGTCGTTTTTGTAGACAGATATCCGACGTAATGAAGTAGGTAGGTTCACACGAAAGGGGCTCGGATGCCAAAAATACTGATTCGAATCACGACACTAATGTCATGACCAACTTTTCGCATACCTACCTACCTAAGCATAGTCGAGGGCATGACCTAGTCTGGAAACTGGTATTATACATATTACATATTACACACATATACCTGAGAAGTCACCCTTAATCGGACACCGGAGTGTATGACTCCAATGTCAAGCGCGCCCCACCTATTGCGATAGGCAACAGATTGTTCACCGATAAAGTACATTTTTGAGCAAGTTTGCATGATGACATCGATGCTTTGCAGAATAATGCAATTGTAACATAATTATCGTTTTGTTTGTTTGATAATGCAAAATGATTAAAAAAGGACGTTCAGTTTATCGATTAGTCAACGTTATGCTATCGTTAACACATTTCCAAGCACCTGAGTTATATTTTGGCTACCTACTGAATAAAGTCACAAAATATACAAAAACACAAACCGCGTTAAAATTTTCATTTGTATATGTCATGGCTCGTAGAGATTACAGGCTAATTCTAAAATACCGAATGGGATCTGTTCCCGGTTAAATCGTAAATCGTGCTCTGAATCCCAGCCTACTGTCCACGTGTCAACATGTTCACAATAGCGAAACTCGGTGTATTTTACGACATTATTATTGCATTACATTAGGACTGGCAATATTGAGGAGTACCTACACAATTGTTGTTCTTAATGAACAATTAGTTTAATGGAATAAAAAATTGCTGCTACGTCATTTGTTCTACTGGAACTTACTTCATTATTGTGAGCGACAATCATAGAATTAAATGAGACACGAAAAATAGGATAAGTGACACTAACCTTCCACGGAGACGGACCTATCAACATGTAACTCGGTGATTCGCCCTGGTATACCAAGCACCACGCTCCACCTTCCTTGCACAGCCCTACTGGTGCGATCCAGGGTAACCTTACACTG